TATCTTTCCGAATCTCCAGATTCGGCTCCGAATCTCGATTCGGATAAAGACTCGTCCCATCACTAGACGCAGTACCTGCGGTTTCCATAACGTCGAAAACGTCAACACAGTTCCGCGTGGTTTCGCTACTGTAGTGAATGTAGTTCCGTGCCGCGCGAGTCCGTGCCGCGCGAGTCCCGCAATCCCGCGCAATCCGGAGACGGCCATCCCCCAGTGTAAGTGGCGCTGCTGGCTCTGCTCCGGAACTTCGCTGTTTCTAGCGGCTTCGTTTGCTCGTTTGATAAAATTAGTGATAAAAACGTCAATGCAACCGAAATGTTCTGCACTTTTAGACAAGAAGACGGAATTACAGGTGGCCTTCGCTGCCGCTGAAGCTCAATCAACTCAACAGCTATTTATTAAACAACGTGAGCGACCTGCTCGAAAAACAAAACCGAAAGAAGATGAGCCGGGAGGGCGAAAGATTTCTCCCGTCTGCCTGGAGAAGGAGAAAAACGTTTCGTTCCTCCCCTTTTCTCGTGTCCGCTTGGGGGCGCGTCAGTAGAAGGGAGGAACACGCGCCGTTGCCACTTTTTTCCTCCATTTTTTCTTAGAGTGTAACTGGGGTCAGTGCCGAGCAGCAAAAGAACGAAAGAAAACCTCAGCGTTGACGATGAGCCTCAAACGCACCTATTTTCAGGACTGTGATGCCTGGATTATACAGGTTTAGTAGCTGAAATTTTACGCACCGCGGACTATACAAGTGGTTTTTTGTTTGTTTTTTTCCTTCTAGATCGTTCATTATGACGACGCGTGGCGGATTTTGTGAATGACAGAGTACGTTAATTATGATTTGTGTATAATATAAGCTCATTTTCGAGCTAATAAAGCAGTCACTTGTCAAGGCTGCGCACGAGAATTTTGTTAATGTAGATATTATAGGCACCAGGCGCGAACCATGCAATGGATGCGGACTATGCAGCAAGCGCGAACTATCAAAGGAAAACCTTTGTTTGTTTGTTTTCAACATAAATTTGCCCCTGCGGTCTATAAACTGGGTGCGGACAATATTTTTGAAAATTCGGTAGTCTGGTCAGTCGCTATGGGCCTATTCACTCAATCCTGCGGACACACTGAATACGACGACGGCGACTCGACCGGTGGATTCTCACGTCGTCGTACAGAAACTACCACGTACAAAAGCGGATACCAGTACGACTTGCGTCGTAAACCCTAGTAGATAAAGAGCAAAAAAAAAAAAAAACACACTGCCAGAAGCCAATGTTTCTTAGAGACGATATCGTCGTCAACAGCGCGCGTCACACTGGGAAAAACTTTGTTCGTAAATCAGTGACGTCAAGGAAATGAGTGGAAGAGTTTGACTGGCGGGGTGATATGAATACATTTTAGAGGCAGTTGTCGCTGCGTTCTGAGCCTGTCACCGACTATGCGGTGCGCAAGTTCATCTGCTTCTTGCACAAGGGTTGCGATGATGTCAGAGCGCCAAGCTCTTATTGGCTGATTGAAAAAAAAAATGTGGCTAGACCCTGAAGGCGTATTTCTTTCCAACCAAAGCTTTCCAACCAAGAAGCAGACGACTTGATCTCCGAATAGATGAAGCGGCAGGTGGTAGCTAAGCGGGAGCAAACAAGTGGCCGTCATTTGGCGAAGCGTCGTTTATTTTGGCGGTGAAACGTTGTGTCTCGTTTCTTTCAACAGACTCCCCCATACTTTGTGAGATGCACGAAAGACGTCAGATATAAAACGCGCAGTACGTCGAATTTCCAGCCATAGCTAATTCAAGAGACGCCCAAAAGGGTTCTGATCTCACTTCAAAATGAGTACGCGCAGTAAATGTATTGAAATGCTTGTCATGTCTAGCTGACTCCGCGTCATAAATAGGCAGTTTGAGAAGCAGCGGTGTAGTATAAATCTTCCATCAAGATTCAACGCATGCGTGATGGGGTGTAGTGCAGGCTAGTGCAGTAACGAGTCGGGTGATATGAATATGGCATTCATCCGCTTGCATATGTTAAAGTAAAGGTACCGTGGGTTCAGCCGGCGCTGATGACACGCTTAAAGGCTTTCCCGCGGAGTCTAATTTTAAACACGACGGCGGCAGTTGGTAGCTCGACTGTAACGGCGCCTAGTCGAGCGTACGACCTTGGAAGCACGATCGTCGGAGCAGCTCGACAAACACCAAAGCAAAAAAAAGAAAAAAAAAAAAGAACGAAAGAAATAGCAAGTGGCTTGTGTTCCCAAGGGTCATATGGATATATATTTATATTAAGTTTAAGCTGTATAAATCTAAAGATTTTTTTTATTTCACCACGTATTAGAAATTTTTATATTATAATGTTTTTACACAAACCGAAACTTCTTAAGGGTATTCTGAAGGCATAAAGGTACTTGACTGCTGACTGTGTGGTAACCAGGATTGAAGAAAGGTGCTTAATATTGCCATTACATTGCGTTTATTAAGTCCGTAACTCTGACAAATTATAGCCTCGTTGAAAGTGTAAATATATATAACTAATTTGACAACTTGAGACTGTAGATGTGACAATGTACGTCAATAGATTCGGATTCGATAAAGGAATCAAGTGTCCACATGGAGCTGGGCTTCTGTAATTATGACTAGAGTTACAGTTTTAAAAAAAATTCTCGAACCTTAAAAAGAAAAAAAAAAAACTCCCTAGCTCACGTCGCGTAATAAAAAATCGTATATAGTGAAATATGCGGTAATTCATTTGCGCAAGACGTAGCGTTCACCTACACTGCCTCAGGATTGATCGAAACGTGTAGTTATTTTATAATTAAAAAAAAGGTTCGCTTGCTCGTCCTGAGGCAGGAGATATTGGGATTGAGGGGAGTCGGGAAGGGGAAGCAGTTTATTATTATGATTTTATTATATCAAGTAATAGACCCCGGAGTCCCTGTTATAACGTCCAGGATTTGCTTCCTGTGCCGTGTCTGTCCCTTGGGGGTAGGTCCAGTCCTCCAGCTTCGTCGGTCTCTTCTCGCTGGATAGCGTACGTCCCACGTATCTTGTCCGAAGTCATCTGGGCCCTTGCAGTTCCAGAGTATATGGGTCGTCGTAACGGGAAAATCCAAAGTAAACCTATGCTCGTTCAGATGGTTCCTCAACGAGAGTAGGCGCGACTTGGGCACTGGATTGACCAGGTCGCTGCGCGGTGTTTGCTCTCGCGCCAAGGTCCTTCGATATACCAAAGAAAAGGTCTGGCTGCACTGAGTCCTTCCTGTGAACTGCCTTTGGTAACCATATAGGAAAGCTGTCTTTGAACTAAGAATGCGGCTGCGATCAATAAAAAGCCTTTAATTAATCATGTGACGAAAAAACAACAGTTTTGCGTGCGTGCGTGCGTGCGTGCGTGCGTGCGTGCGTGCGTGCGTGCGTGCGTGCGTGCGTGCGTGCGTGCGTGCGTGCGTGCGTGCGTGCGTGCGTGCGTGCGTGCGTGCGTGCGTGCGTGCGTGCGTGCGTGCGTGCGTGCGTGCGTGCGTGCGTGCGTGCGTGCGTGCGTGCGTGCGTGCGTGCGTGCGTGCGTGCGTGCGTGCGTGCGTGCGTGCGTGCGTGCGTGCGTGCGTGCGTGCGTGCGTGCGTGCGTGCGTGCGTGCGTGCGTGCGTGCGTGCGTGCGTGCGTGCGTGCGTGCGTGCGTGCGTGCGTGCGTGCGTGCGTGCGTGCGTGCGTGCGTGCGTGCGTGCGTGCGTGCGTGCGTGCGTGCGTGCGTGCGTGCGTGCGTGCGTGCGTGCGTGCGTGCGTGCGTGCGTGCGTGCGTGCGTGCGTGCGTGCGTGCGTGACTACGCGAGCGCTTCGATCCCACTTTGAACGGTCCGCCAAAATCTGTTTCTCAACGTATCGCGCTAGGACAGAGGTGCCCGAAGGTGGCGCATTCATTAATTGAGAGTATGAATATGTGAATCCTCCAGAGTCAAAAGAAAGAAAATAAAAACCGGTTTTGCTTAAAGAAAAATTATTGCCAAGCCTTTTTTCCCGAAATCATCAAGAATCGTTCTGGGCTATTTTGGCGTTTATTACGACTATAAAATCGGTGAAATGGAAATAAAATACAATTGGCTTGCCTACTTTTCACTTCATATGGCCAAAATAACACCACAGTGACACAATTTGTGTACATGCAAAGTATAGAAAAACATATATAGTTTTCGATTTCTCGTGATTTACTCAGGTGAGCCATCCTTTCCACAATTTCAGTGAAGGTGTTTACCACCTTCGGGCACTTCCATAGTAAATCCTAGCGCGATACGTTAAGAACCCGATATATGCGGACCGTCCAAAGTGGGATCGAAGATCGAAGCGTTAGTGTACACGCTGTATGTAACACGCGCTTCTGCCGGAACAATCAACTTGCGCTCGAGCCCCGTTTTGTTAGTGTGTATGTGCTTCTTGTACAAAAACAAGGTTAAAGTTCTGCCAGCGATAGGTGTGCGCGTTAATTTAAAAAAAGAAGTATAAAGCTAGCTCATTAGCGTGGGCGTGCAACAACTACCGCAGACTTTTATTTTTTTGCATTCTATCATTTGCATGAATGAACAACTGCGCCGTGTTCGCGAGCACTTGATTAGACGCTTTGACGTAGTACCAAAATGTGCTCCTAAGCACGCATGGGTGGAAGTAAGGTGTCCCGACCAGTGACTGGTACGTGAATACAGATACGGCGGACGAGTAAACTGCACGACATTGTTAGTGTGAACACGACGTCGATACTTACTAAAAAATTTGGAGCGTCTGCTTTTCCTCAAAGCACTTGGGACAGCCAATCGCTGCAATCGACGGAAGAAGCTGAGCGAATGACGGGGCTGATCATATGTTTAGGCCTAACAAAACAAATCTGCGATGTGGCATTGAGCACTCCAGATTTCTTGAAGCGTGCTTTTTGGCAATCTGCTCCGCACTGCATCGCTCCCGGCGTGTTCTCAGCTGGCGGGTATACCCGTTCTGCCGATCCAACGTTTCGTTTCATTTTTGTCTTTCTATTAGACACGAAGATATGCAAGAACTGCGATGCCATCCTGGCGGAGCTGGAGCACATCAACGACGAAGCGGAGAAGTTCGGTGTGGCCTTCGTCAAGAACAGCGATCGACCGACGGCCAAAAAGTTCGGCATCACAAAGTTTCCCGCGCTAGCCTACTTCAGGAACCAAGAACCCACACTCTATGACGGTGCGTATACACATAGACCAAACTATGCGGACTACACTCGGGGGCAACTTTTTCCGGCATGTCTGAGGAACTGAAGACAGCGTGGGCACAGCTGTGATCAGCGCGCACGGGTTAAAACTCGAAACTTGGAAACTTGGCAATGAAGCTTTGGCTTCATTGCCAAGTTTTTAAATCGTGTAGATCATTCAAGAAAGATAAAGGAAATTTTTTGTCAAGCAGATCATAAGAATTGTTTTTCCACGCACAATTACTGAATGAAATTTGTCACTCGAGTCTGTTTTTACTCATCACGGCGTGGAAGGTAACGGTGGAACCACTTATCTCAGGAAGTGATCCTGATTTTAATGTTGTTATTTATGCTCAACGATTATCTATTTACTTTATTCACAGCCCCCTTTTGTATATTGAAGTGTACTTTTTTTATTGAGCGTTCTTAAATATATATATATACAGTCTGTACACCTGCTATAATGACGGAGGTTCGGCGCTGCAAGTTTCCTTCTGTAAGTAAACACCGCTGTCCCCAAGTATTGGCGACTCCAGCGAAATCGACGCCGCGTAGCGGGAACGCCGAGAAGCTCAGGAGAGGAGGTCGTTTTGACTCTGCCGTCTGCTATCGCTGCTTGGTTCCCATGGGCAGCATAGAAACAAACATCGTTTACAGTAATTATGTTTATGCTTCTGCCGTGGCATTCCTACGCAGTGACTAGAAGAAGGTTTCTACCGTCGAAAAATCGCTTTGCTTTCGTGTGTAACACCGATTTTACGCTGCAGTGAAAAAAATTTAGGGTGGTCCGCGTGCTAAACAACGAAAACGACCTCCTTTCGTACGCCATTTTGCCTGACCAGCGCGCCCCCATATTGTTCGCTGGAGTCACGAATACGAAGCGCCGTCTACTTGTTGAGCAGGGGTTACGGTGACGTCAGGATGCCAGGCTCCGATTGGCTCCGATTGGAAGGACTGTGGCTAGACGTCGAGGCAGCTAACATCGAGGTCTACCCACTATCCCTCCGTGAGAACCAATCAGAGCCCGGTGTTCTGACGTCAGTACAGTCCCTGCGCAAGGGGCGGACCAACTTGCGCCCCGCGTAGAGTGACCGACAGCTTCAGAGGCGCAGGGCGGGGCAAGTCCCGGGCATCTCATTGCTACTCCGCAGCCAATGAGAGTGCGGCATTAGTCACGCCCTGCGCATCAGCCACGCCCTAAGCTTCTTAAGTTGTCAGTATCTGTATTCGCCGTAGGAATCGACCAATCGATCGACCACTCGGTTGAGTGAGATTTGTTTCGGCTTAATAGCCAAACTAAAGAAGGGCATCAGACCAGCTTAGCAAGGGGGTGGGGGCGGATTAATTTAAGCTACCCGAGTTAACGGCGCCAAAAATGCATCGTCACGGTGCACGCTTTAGTCTGTGGGCTTGATATTACCGGATAAGCCAATCACGTACTACACAAGGAAGATGCAGGATCACGGCGTATTCACCGCGCGCGTTATTGTTTACGTCGGTGACCGCAAATGCACGAAGGCGATGAGTTCCGTGAAGACGCAATTTTGGCGTAGCACGGTCGGACTTGGAGTGAAAGGAAGTGTGAAAGAATATGTCACTCCAAAGTAGGCTTCATTTTTGGAATGCCCATAATCATACTGGAAATTTTAAATCCAAATAAACTTCCTGAGACCACGCTTTCTTTCTTTTTAAAGGGCTAAGTAAATCAAAGGTACTATCGCGGACAGTAAGCGCTAACTGCAGCTTTTCGCGCTTCTTCGGACCCCCTGACAAGAACAAAAAAAAAATTGCTGCTGTTACCACGTTGATTTTTAAATAAATGCGTGAGAATTTCGCGCAGCGGTAATATAGTATAATAAAGCGAGGTGAATTCAGCCTCTCAGCACTTTTCTGCGAGGGTGAACATTCCCGAAATCCCTCTTCTTCCTGGTGAAAGGAGGTCAGGTCACTTAGCGCGCGCATAAAGGACGTACGCGCGCGATTCGCGGAAAATGACAGAGCCATTTCGTTGCTGCGCATACATGTTGTGCATAGGGGGGCGACGACACCGTGCGCTTACGGCCCGGAGGCACGGTAGTAAGACGACTGCGCGTCAAAAACCGCGTGGCAGGCCGAAGAGCGGAACCGCAGACCGTACATGCCCACGGGTCTCCAAAGTCACGCGGCCGGCGCGCACCCGCACGCCGGCCGCGTGACGTAATGCCTAGCACCCGAGGTGCAGTGGGGGACAGCGGGGCTAGGGAGTACTTGGACCGTCGGCGGGGCGCCTCAAGGCGGCGTGTACGGATGACCCAAGGTGGGTTAAATATTTTGTAATGAGCTATCCGCAGACTGTCACAGCGAGGCGGCGTGAACGGGCGGGCCGGGGTGGGTTGACGCGCACCCCAGTGATACACCCGCCGCCCCCCACTGCGCGGCACCGAACTTAGCGGAGAGGGACGTCGCCGGCGATCTTGGGTTGCTAGGGGCTCTGGATAGGCGTTAGGTGCTGCTGTAGCGCCATCCCGTGGCGAAGTTGCAAATTCTGAATACGTGTTCTCCAACCAGTCCGAGGTCAGCGCATGTACCAGGGCACTAATGCTAATGCATTAAAAAAAAGTTTCTGTCCGGATTACGGCTGGAATGAGGAGTTAAGGTCGCACTGTTTGATATATTTGTCCCTGAAAGATGAAGCAACTTCGCTTGTGCTGGGAACCGCAGGCGTGGCAAAAAACCGAATCGAATCGTCCGAGAAAGGGGAGGGGTGGGGGGGGGGGGGGGGGGCTATAATCACTCCTTTCTGGCTGTACAAAAACAAAACTTTTTTTTTTTTTTTTTTTTAATAATACTTTGGTCACACGTGGTTAGAAACTAACCCGGTCAAGTAAAGCGCTCAACTTTCCCGGAAGGCAAACTTCCCCTCAAGCAGAGTCGGCATGCAGAGAAGCCCGCCCATAAACATCAGTCTGCGCAAGTAAATGCTCAACCTCACCGAGAAATGGAATGATTACGCAAAACCAGTTCTTCCAAGTTGTGTGCACAGCTTACAACAGGCACAGGTGCGAGAGCGCAAACACATATCCACTCACTGCATTTGTTCTGATGAGGATTCGCACGCCAAACAGATTTTCAAGAACCACGCTCTGACGGACATGCCTTTGCTTTGCCCGACCGTACAAGGGACTCGGGACTTAGTATCTTAAGTAGTAAGCCCTAAGTTCCTTGTCTACAGCTTAATGACGACTTACAAATTTTCCGTCTTACACTTAACCAAAGAATCCTCTCGTTGTCGCAAAAAAAAAAAAGAAGAAAAAAAAAGTGGTGTTCATTGTTTTTATGCTCAGTGCGATCATCTTAAACCTTGTAATCTATAAAGCTCATCTTCTGGTAAGCCAGAAATGCTGGTAGGTTTTGAGCTTCTGAACCAACTAAACTCCCCGGGGCAGTTTTGGCGACGTGTAGTGTGTGCTGTACCCATTCAGTGTGCTCCTCTCAAGTAACACAAACAAGACAACCCCGCAGTGAACCGTTTCTAAGCCCAGTGCACTTGTCCCTCGAACAGTAAAAACAACCAACACTGCAACGCTGAGATAAAGAAATAAATAAATACAGAACACGTAAAAAAAGGGAAAGGAAGGGGGGGGGGGGGGGGGGGGGAACCAAAGAAACCGACTCTGTCTTTTGGAGGATCTTTGTGTTGTTCCTCTTTTTAAGCGTCTTCGATTTCCTTCACTGTCTCAGATTCAGTCATCCATCAGCTCGCCTGCGCGCTCACTCTTCTTGCAAGAACTACAACCTTTGAGATCTTGGCTCGGAGAAAGTATTCACAGTAAAAGAAGATACGTTTATGTGGCTTTGCAGCTAAATTAGGAGGAGAAAAAGGAATGAGTGTCCCTCTTGGTATCTCTTTCTTTTTTATTCATGTTCTATTGTCTTTTGGGCCCCTTCAAAGGCGACCTGATGGACGAAGAAAAGGTACTCGACTGGCTCACGAACCTGGAGGCGATGGAGCTGGCCGACCGCATTGAGGAGGTCAACGGAAAGATTCTCGACAGCCTCATCAAGGAGAGCCAGTACCTGGCCGTCCTTTTCTGTGAGTGCTTCCGTCTATAGTCTATTTTATGATTTTATGAATGAGTCTCCAATTCTTTATATAGTTTAATAAACATTACAATACGCAGGGTTGGGCAGAAATACTCCAAAATGTATTTGGAAATACAAATACTGGGATACATTAAAATAGTAGCTAAAATACTGATACTAAGATATATCTGTAAAAATGTATCGCGATACGTATCGGAAATACATTTTAAAAAGAGGCAAAAAGTATTTGGAAATACAAATACAGGAATACATTTTAGGGAGGGCAGAAATACAAATACAGAAATACTGATACTGCAATACATTTTCCAATTTTTTTGAGACGCCAACTGAGATGAAGCTTGAAGTTTCAAGTGGGTGTTTTCGATTCCGAAATTACTTTCCTGTAGGCTTGGCACTTTGCCTTGAAGGTAGTGGTTTCGGACGATAAGGAGTCTTCAATGGGCCCAAAAAAAAAAAACGTTCCATCAAGGACTGACCGCGGTTTCTTTCATGACATCGTGTTTGTCTGACGAGGGAATCCTGTCAACATTGATCACATGATGTCACGGTGAATGAACTAGTATTCTTTACCTGTAGGTGTGGCCTTGAACATGAAACTTTACCACGCTGCTGTATGAAAGGACAATACGTACTTTCGTTGTAGGTTACCTAATTGAAGATCGTGCATGCAGTGTCATTTGGAATTTTTGAGAATAGTGAACCACCCGAAGCATCTTGGAATACATGTCTTATCTTCTGTTTAGGGTTGAAAAAACGATAAAGTAGCATCCCTGTTCTGAAGGTCCTTACTACCGACCCTCCGCCACCGACGCACGGATTGCAGTCCTCAAGTTTTGCCTAGCATTATCCAAACAGAAACCTCGTGGATCGCGAGCTGATATTGCCGGCACAGGTGCGAGCTGTCCGAGAAACAGCGGTCTCGAGACGAGTCGCGGGAGTACGTAGTCTGGGATGGCACAGCGAGGCCACTTCTGGCTTCCTTCTGGGTTTCGGATCACCAGAGCAGCGGGTCAAGTTCACGTCGGCTGATGACATACCCTAGAGCCGTGCAATGTTACGGGCGCAGCCGCAGATGCATTCGAATATGTGTTGAACTTCACAGCATGAGACTTGCTACTATTTCAAGTCAACCACCGCCAGGCTCGTGCTGCAACGAAATGTGACTCAGCTTTGCCGGCTGGGTGTATTCTGTACGCTAAAACGAGAGAGACGGTTAGCAGCGGGCATTGAATGCCACCAAACAATGACTCAAGAAATCCCTACCTAAGGACCTGCTCCACTAAGATGCTCTGACTCCACTCCTGGCACGCCACCTGGTTCGAGTCCCCGACTACGCAACACTTCTCAGAAGAGGGAAGAGGACGCATAGAAAAATGGTTTGCAGAATCAAAAGGAACCTTGGTCAGCATAGTAGCAATGTCCGAGCATCTCCTTGACACTCTGATGCCCTCAGAAGTAAAAAAAAAAAAAAAAAATGCGTTCGGTCTTGTTTCTTTTTTTCTTTTTTTTTTTTCGGGGAGGGGGTGGGGGGGCAGGGGGGAGTATTTCTCAAGAAATCTAACGAAATACATTTCATCCTGATTGTATCGCGATACAAAGAAACATTCCACGTGTATTTCGATACAGGAATACAGATACTGGTGAAAAAAATGTATCGCGATACAGAAATACAGATACGAAATGTATTTCTGAAATACTATCGCGATACATTTGTATCGCGATACTGCCCAACCCCGACAATACGTTTGTTTAATTAGGCTATGGTTCAACCGCAGTTATCTTGAATGTACATATCGTTTTCTTAAGCTTTAGAACAAAGATGAAAACCTCTATAAATATATGGCTCTTAAAAATGTACGACTTAAAACAAAACGAAAGAAAAATTAAAGTGCATTTATATATCGGTGTGCTTACGCGTCATGATTATCATGTCAATATTTGACATAATAATCGTTAACGAAAAGGCAAACAGCGCATAGTAAACAGGGACTAAAGGAAGTGCAAACAGGATAAGCGCTGACTCTCAACTGAACTTTAATCACATGAAAACAAAACAAAGAAAACAGCAACCCCGCCCACGTCACATGATACATTCACCACATGTCCAAAAAGCAATCTCTTTACTACTTAAGCCCGGTGACGTTTGGCTTACCCAGTTGGTGCCTGTTTTGATAATTGCATGCGCCTCTAAAATTTCTATATTCACTCTGTCCCTTCCATTGCCAATGACACCAGTCTTACTGAAGATAGGTTTGCACCCACATCCATGACAATGCAATGGCAGATGCCCCCCTACAGCTCCCAGCACTGATCGCAACGACAAGTCATGCTTCCGCAGTCAGTGATTAACACACCTGCCCGTCTGACCGACGTCAGTATGAACCAACTAACCCACATCGCCACCCTTATTCAATAATCGTTTTTTTTTACTAAAAAAAGAATTCAGATTTAACCCGGTTCACAAATCACTTCTTGTCTCGTTTATTAATTTATTCACGGCAACCACATCCTTCGGTGACGCTTGCACCAACAAATTAAGAGAGACAACCGATGTTGCGTTTGTGAGGGACTGACTGTCGTAGAAAAAACACCGGCTACTCTGTCGAAAGAATAAATATTTTTGTGTGTGTTAAATTGAAAACTCCTTATGTTCCAAAATATTGTCGTAAAATCGCATTCTTAAACTTGTTCCGGAATAATGACTCCTTGATATCTCAAGCGCACACCATTGGTATGCGTTAGAAACCACAGTGCGTAATTTGTACAGCTACAAATGGTGTATTAACTAAATTAGATTGAATAATTATTGGCAATTTACAAATTGCATTCAACGAATGGGTGCAACGACCTTGTCATTCTATGAAACATTTTTTTCTTCAAATTTGCATCTATTCATTCCAAGTAATGACGCCAGTAGAGAACCCTAGAAACGCGCCATACACAAACAAAACTTGATATTCCAAATTCTTGATCTTGATCTTGATACGAGCGTCGGAAGTCACAAATGCCCTAAAGCGATTTTTCATCGCCCTTTTAAGCGAGATAAAACAAGACTGAAAAAAAAAAAAAACCCGTTCGTTGCTGAAGTTTTAAATCTTATATTGCTTGCGTGTGCGCCTAGCTTCCCTATAAAACACCATCAAAGTGAACGAGAATGAAGGAGTCAGTGAAAGATACCAAGAAGGATAACATCAGGGTGGTTCCAACCCCGATACCCCTGAGCTTAAATGTTCTCTGAGCCGCCAAAGGCCAGGAGAGTTTTTTCGTCGGTACGAAATTCCACCTGCCTTAGTCGTTTTCTTCTTAGCCTTTTTCTTTCGCTGCTCCTCGCCCCCGCCCCCCCCCCCCCCCCCCTTGCTCCCCTTCCACCCCCTTCCCCTTTCCCCTTCCTGAATCCTCGATAATTTGCCCTTCGAACTTGTAAAGCACATGGACTAAGCTAATGATGCCAGAGAAAGACAAAGCTAAAATCCTCCATTGTGCACGTTTAGAGACAGTCACATTTATTTTTTTTAATTATTTTAGAGATGAGGCATATTAAAACAGATGGATTAATTTCACTCACCCTTCACGTAATGTGCCCATGGAAAGCAAAATGGGCTCAATTATTATGAATAAAAAGTAAACTTACAAGATGGCTACTAATGTTCAATACCCTGAGACTCAGAGCTCGCTTGCCTTACTAATCTAGCTTAAGCGATAGATATTTGATTTGTTTTTCAACCACTTAGAAATTATGAGGACACGACGCGAAACTAATAATTGTCACGACTAAAATAATCACATTACATTCTGCATTAGTTGTCCCCGCTGAACGCGCTGTCGACTTCATAAGAAATCTCTCAAGTAAGTGTTTCGAGTACGGAGCTTAACTCTAGAAAACAAATCATTCACTGACAAAAAACTACTATGAACAGGCTTTATTTAACAGAAATGCAATGCTGCTGCATTCCCCACTTCGGCGTATTTCAAGAGAGAGACCATTTGTGAAGTTACTCGCTTCGTCATTATCAAACCCCCCTATTTGCATCAGGAGGCAGCAATTAGTCGCTACGGACAAGGAAGGAAACAAAGTGTATTCCTTTTGCTACTCAGCTAATCACACTTTTCATCGGAGTAGCTGCCGCCTCGCGGATTTAGAGTGAACCACTGTGACGGGCTGCGGCGTGCGTTGGAACGCAACGTGATGGCCATGCCGCTATCGAGGTCAACATTGTGACTCGGGTGAAGAAACAGAAATCTTAGATCATACAGTTCGTGTATGGGCGTTTGAGGGAAGTGAGGATGACCATTGCCGATGGAATAAATGCCAAAAATATGCAACGATTTCGACTGAAAAAATATTTATACATTGCGTGTTAGCATTTTGGAACTCTTTACCGCTTTGAAAGTTGGCGGATCAAATACGCGCAGTCGAGCCAGAGCGCTTTTCAAACTCATTGGCATGTTCAAATAAAATATCGAACGTATGTCGCCTCAAACAGATATTTATAGGAATTCCTTCAGCGTGGCGCAAAGATGGCTCGTAGCGTTCGCTGCGGTCGGTTGTAAAGGGAAACGGGAGTATAGTATGACAAGAAAAATGGCCAAATGCACTTACATAAAAAAAATAATATTTGTTTTGTTTTAAGTGCGTTATATTCTTGTATGCATATTATATCCGTAAAACAAATATATTTATTCTGTAAGGTCATCGGGTAAACTGAAAGTAGTTTTTGCTTGGTTCGATTGCTCTTTCCTGATTTATTTGACCACCTTCATCTCAGCTCATTGACGCTGAAGTGAGAGGAACCGTGCATTTAACTTCAACCCCGAGCTTAAAGTTACCAATAAAACATATTAGACCCTAAAAATATTGTTTAAAGCGAAACTTAAGTTTGAGTGAGCTATTCTTACGGTACGATTAGCGGTTTATCTCTGAGCAAAGCGTTTAAAGTCTCTCTCGTTTAATTCGCTTAATCCCGCGTTCACACGTGGCTCGCAATCACGTTACACCAGCCGCCGTTGTGGTGGACCAGCGGCTGAGTGCGTACCTATCGTGTAGCGTGCATATTGCATCATCAGATTTTTTTCACTAGGCTAAGAATGAGTCCGAATGATGTCCAGCATGATAAAAATGATGTCACGTGCAAGTCATGTATAGAAAGCTGCCGCATCCCGCCTTTTAGCTCGTGAAGTGTCCTAGCTTTTACAGAGATCCACAGTGATTATTCGATCGAGGTTTCATTCTGTCACGCACGCAGACAAGAGGAAACACAAGGAGTCCGAAGCCGTCCTCCAGGAGCTCGAGAACATCGACGACGAGGCTGACGCTCTGGGCATCGGTTTCGTCAAAATCTCTGAGACGGAGGTCGCCGAGGAGTTCGGACTGGACCAGTTTCCAGCGCTAGTTTACTACCGAAAGACCATTCCCCTCCTCTATGACGGTGAGTCACATCGCTCAGAGTAATCGCCCGAAACATAATGTGATGAATTTTCAGTTTCCAATTAAGTTCGACCGTAGCCAATGCTCCTATGGAGCCAATCAATCAGCACTAAGGGTGCATCGTCACGCAGTGCTCGTCGTCTTTGTTGTGGCTGCCATCACTAATTAAAAGATACTCATATTGGTCATTTAACTCCTCACAACGGCAGCACCAAACTTTCTTCGACTAAACATGCAAAGTGTTACGAGAGGGAGAAAAAAAAAAAAAAGAAGCAACGCCTTAATTTGCATTATATTCCCAATGTGATTCGAGAGGTTCATTCACCTTTGATTACAAAGGCTTAATTTCTTGGGAACGCAGTTAATTTAAAGAATCTCTCGTAGGTCGTAATTTTTAACTCTTAATAACAAAAAAAGAAACTTTTTTTTGTTACGTTTTGTTTCCTTCCGTCTGAGCACAGCCGATGCTACGATCTAAATGGGCCAATCAGGTAGCGCCCGAAGTGTGACGTCAAGGTGCTCGTCGGCCTTGTGCGCGTCCACCTGCTAAACAGATAAAACACAGTGAATGCAGCTACATCCTGCACTTCTAGTTTGTGCATCTGATTTGTAAGTCTTCTAGACTTTCACTGTGGTCTGTCTTGTGGTGAGACCAAGTATAGAGAAAGACGTTCATGTTTTTCTGGCCAGCCATGGGTAACCCAGAAACTTATCGAAACGTCTCTTACTACAAAAAGGCTCCCAGAGGGTTCCTTTCAAGTTGTACCTACCAGCCTCGACTGCCCTCGTGATACATTTTTTTTTTTCTTCTTATCTATTACAGGCGACCTGAAAAACGAAGAGGACGTGCTCAAATGGCTTCAAGAGTTTATGGACACCGGGGAGGACGCCGACGTTATCGAAGAGGTTTCTGCGGACGACATGACCGCCCTGATTGAAAAGACGGAAATTCTGGCGGTCTTTGTTTGTTAGTCGCTTTGTATCTTGTACCTTCTTACCGAGGCGAGCTTCATCCAACGCTGAACAACAACTTATTCGGGGTTTTTATTTGTGTCTTCAGTATCCAAAGAAAAGCTTTTTGAAGCAAGCTAAAGAAGTTATGTAATTTTTACTGTACTTTTTTAATATATACAATTTACTTATTTGGCTTCCCAGAACTAGAGATATCTTCGAAGAGTAATAAATCTTGACTTTGAAAATTATTTTATTCCCTAAAAGTAGTCGCGCGCCCCCTTTTTAATCCAACAAGTTCCAGGGAACTGGTTATTGGTTCTGATGCTCGACATCCGAGCAATTTGGGATTAAAATGTCACCTTGTAAATGCCAAAAAGAAAATGGAGGCTTTTCCAAAGGGCTTTGACGCTGAGATTTTGCGAGCGGGTGTTTCGAAACGTTTTTTAATATCTTGTTTATCGCGCTTTTTTTCTTCTTCTTCCAGATGACGAGAGCGACGAGAAGAGCAAGAAGATTTTGGAAGAGCTGGAGGCAATCGATGACGACGCGGATCAGCACGGAATTCCTTTCGTCAAGACAGACGACATCGAATTCGCGAAAAAGTACGGCTGGGAGAAACTGCCCCTTCTAATCTACTTCGAGAACACCGTGCCTACCTTGTTCGAAGGTGAGTCAGAACGGGCGTACTTTCTTGGCGCTTCGTTTTATTATTTTTATTGCTTCTGCTTGCTCAAGTCAGCTTTCTGTCCCATTCTTCTTTTTTTTTTTTTTGGCAGATTTTGAAGTAACATTAAATAGGACAATATGAGCTGAAACACCTGATCAGACTTTTTCCGCGCCTGCATGATCCCCGTAAGATCTATTATCTCTGAATTTGTCAAAAAAGTCCGAAGTATGGGACCTTAAAGGGACGATGCAACGATTTTCGTACTTTGAGCAAATACCACTTAAAACGGATCCCTGACGGTAATGACCTGGGAAATATTCGTTCGTTTTTCACCACACGCAATCGAAATCGCGGGAAAATTTAAAGAAAAAATCGAAGACGTTTGCAAATCTCTGTAATGCGAAACTAGAGCGCAGCTCTTGAGGAGGAGGGGGGGGGGGGGAGAGTACGGAGAAGAGCGTATGCCCTTCCTCCTCCTCCGTACCTTCCCCTCCTCCTTTTCTTTCCTCCCCTCTTCCTGCCGCTGAATTTCTTCATGGGTGACGTGACACGAAGTCGTGACACCATTTCCCAGCTAAATTTAGCGGGGAAACTGAATTGGTGTTGAGATAACGTGACGTCAATTTCCCCGCTAAATTTAGCGGAAAAATTTAGCGGGGAAGTTTTGCTAAGCAGAAATTGAATGAAAATGCTCGCTTTTGTACTTGAAATTACACCGCAAAAATGGAGTTTCTTGGCCAGCGGCGTTAAGTGCCAGTATCCTTGAGTCCCATTAACGCCAGTAAGCTCGTGTAATGTGAACATGCATTCCAATTGAATATCGTTGCACCGCCCCTTTAACTTCGCATTGCATTCCTAGGTCAAACCACAGCTCTTTCAAAAGACGGCCGGTATAGACCGTTCCATTAGGGTCATAGCAGAGAGGGTAAAAGAGAAAAAAATGCACTCCCCCTCTCACCCCGCGTGCCGTCCGCTCCGCCGAGTGGGCTGTAGCTAGCGTCCGGCTGGCGTGCAAACTCTGTTTAAAATCGCGTCATTTTGGAACTTTCAAGCGCAGATGCGCAGATTTTGGTATGCCAGTTGTCGTGTAATATTATGCTAGATAAAGAGACTCACAGGGTCCGATTGCGCTGTTACCAGCGTGCAAATAAAAGAAAAAATAGGGAAAACTGTGTCAGATTGGCCGATCTTTTTGGCGAAAAGTAAATCCGGTTGCTGTATTTTATTTATTAGACGAAGTTCGTACTGGTGTAGGCCTTTAGCGACCATGAGTGGAAGTCTGAAATAATAAATAAAACGTGCTCTCCTGCCGCAATACACGCAAAAGTTGAGGATAGTACTGCCGGCTGACTCAACTGCTATTTAAGTAACGGAAAAAAGATATGCTAGTTGATCATTTCGCAAAATAGAACAACAGAGAGCTATAGGCCGATTTTGGAGTAGCCACAACTATTGTAAGAACGCGAACCACTTCACAACGGCAGCCACGAGCGAGAGTTCGATGTTCGGTAGAGCCCGCCGATACAGCCCAAAGATGGAGAAAGGCAACCTCCCGGTTTGTCGTCTGCTAGCGGAGTCGGGCGCGTGCCCTCTCTCTCGTTTTACCCCGCCGAACCCGCTGAACTTCCCGGATGTGTGGAGAGGGCGCTGCGGGCGAACAAAATGGTGCCACCCAGAGAGCGCTAAATGGAATGGCCTATATGCCATAGAAGCAAGGGCTGTTGCAGCTCGCATTGTCCGCGGTAGTACAGCCCAGGGTATACGGTGCATTTGAAGGAGGTGGTGTATTTAGGTGCGCGTTTTACTAAAGGAGGAGGCGGGTATCCCACAGAAACAATGGGCAAATTCCAAGTGCACCTGGGATTTACTTGAAATTGGCGCAATACTGGCGCTGCTGGTCATCGCACTGACAGCGTCACAGTCAGATCGGCATGCGATCACGCTATCTACTCTGTTTTGGCTCTGCCGTGAACGACAGCCAGGGGGCACTGCCAACCTTTGCCTGGTCAAACGCTATAGGCGATTTCTATTGGCTATACAAGTGACTCCGAGGAGGTGCATGATGGGATCCACTTAAGCCAAAAATGGCGGAAACGTTGCCGGAAATGCGGTGCTTAACCGGTTACGCGGCGCCGGCAGCCACATTATAGACCAACTGGAGCGCGCTGGCATACTACGTCGCGCCGGCAGTGGCCGCAGCAGGCCAATGCGGAGCGCAAGTTCGTTTCCTTCTTTTGCAGCGGTTGTGGTTTGATTGATTGACTGATTTGATTTCCTTCCTGATTGCTTCGGGGGGGGGGGGGGGGGGGGGGGGGGGGGAAGAGGAGGCCCCAGCTAAATGGAAGATTTCGGGGGGGGGGGGGGGGGGGCCCGGTCCGGGTGAGAACCCCCCCCCTCCCCTGAATACGTGCCTGGCTCTGATTGGAGGACAGTGGGTAGACCTCAAGGCAGCCTGCTTTGAGGTCTACCCACTATCCAACAATCAGAGCCAAGCAGAGCTGGGCGTTCTGACGTCACCACAGCCCCTGCAAAATAAGCAGACGAACTTGCATAGGAGCCTGCGCCAGGAGCCGAAAATGGCGCGACGCATCGAAGGCATCCAATAGGAGCGCACGCGGCACGATGGCGGTACTTAGCGGTATGTGGCGGTGCTTGGGTAAGTCGGAAAATACAGTGCTTTACTGCGTGGTTAGAAGCGGCAAGCGGTATCGAGTTTTAGATTACCGACTGCCCTCTCGTCCCGACAAATCGCTTCGTGGTCTGTGCCTAGTGATGTCCCTTTCTGTAAGCGTGGAACCGATACGTACCAAGAGTTCCTAAATATGTCCAGTATTGACAGAACACAGATGTCATCGTAGAGTATGTTACACGAGAAAGAGGAATAAATGACGTGAATGTGTTTGTGTGCAACTGTCTGTATGCTCGCGCGCGCGTGTGTGTGTGAGTTTGCAAATATTAAAGCCTGTTCTTATATTTACAATTTAGAAAATTTCATTAAAACATTTGGTTTCAGCTTGACGAGTACAACTGAAGGCTACTGTGTCATCTGTTTTGCGAGAAATAAAATAAGTTTTGTGAACATTCGTTTAAAACCACTAACCGAGACCGAAACTCGGGCTGCACTGGATGACCTTGCTGCTTGTTGTAATTTATGTTCTGCACCCACGTGGCGCTCTCCTTTGGTTACGTGCTCGTGGAGAACACCACGTAAAGTGGCATACGTAAACGGCGCCCGCATCGCATGCACTGCAGCAGAAAACAGCGCATGTCGCAGCTTCCTCTACATTTTACGCTTTTGCGTAGGCAAGGTCACGTGACAATAATAAAATTACCGTTTTGAGCGTGGCAACTGCCATTTGCTAAATTAGCGAATGACTCGACGCATGACAAACTCTCGGGGCCAAGTCAATAATAAACGCATGTTTAGAATGAATTGTCTGGATGTTTTAATATTCTGCCTAAACGTTACGACGGAATACAAAAACCGTGTTGTTGTTTTTTTTATTTGAGATTAGAGACTATTGCAGTCACTCTTTGGTAACCAAAACTGAGCCATTTAGTTGTAGATTAATAATAGAAGCCATATTTTCTCATGAAAGCTCTATGGCTAAGACTATCTTCACCCAAAGACAAAAGACTGCAGTGAGTTGCTGTAATATTCAATAACAGCTAGAACAGTGACGGGGAGGAAGTCGCCTAATCTATCGCATTAATCCTCTTATCTTGCTCTGGTTCAATCAGGCTGGTAGAGAAATAGAGGTCAGAAGCTCAAAATCAACAAGCTAGAATACGATCCTCGAAACATCAAAAATCTGGTATTGCACAGGTGTGGATCGTAGGAGGTCTAGGCCTACGCACAAAAGAGTAAAACAGCTTTAGTGTAAAAACTTCCATAAACCTATGCAAGGTCATGAGATTGCACAACTGCGAAACTACTATGTTTAACATAATTTAATAGTGAGCTAATTGTATAAAAACATAATTTCGTTATGGTAAACAAAAAAAAAAACTTTCAGAACTTTCGCAAGGTCATGAAATTATATGGGTGCAAAATTAGATTCAACGTGATCCAATGGTAACGTAATTGTGTTACCCTTCTTAACCCCTTTGACGGAAGGTGATGTCTCATTACTAACCCATTCTTCGCTGTACAATTGGGGACAGCCGTTTGTGAAGGAAACATTCTTTTTTCAGGAGACCTGAGCAACGAGGACAAGGTGCTCAGCTGGCTGGTGGAGCAGAAAATGAAGGACGAGATCGAGGACGTTTCCGAGGACGTGCTGGACGAACTGGTCGAGAAGGCTGACTATCTTGCGGTACTTTTTTGTAGGTTCTAACTCTCAGTCAGTTATAGAACTAGCACAGTTGGCTTCCACTACGCATCCCCAAAAAAGCATTGCACTGTTAGCCCAAACAATAATATAGCAGCTTGTTTAAACTAAGCGGCGAAACACCTGGACTTAGAACTGACCTTATTTCGAGCATGAATTTGTTGACGCTCTGTTTACCTGTATGAAAACAGTAAAGCGTGTAACGTAATTTTTTGGGCTAATATTTTGTTGGAAAGCATGCCTCTCCTGCTGGTTACTTAGTGTAAAATAACGATTCGAAAATGTTACTTCAACAAAAATAATTTATCATAAAAATAGCGTTCAATGATTAAGTCATAAAAATAAAGATTTTGGAGCCCGTCTTCGTCATTCCTGTCAAAATTCTTGCACGTAGAAAACATTAAAGGGTACTTCACGTGAATGTGATCCTGTTTACACCGATACTTGTAAACTCATGCTGCATCACGTCATGTGACACGTCACAACATGCAACGTGATCAAATGACGTGACGCTCATGACGTAATTCCATGTCGCGTGTCGTCCTTTTTTTTTTTAAATAGCCTTTCCTGAAACGCATACTAGTATGTTAAAACCAAAAACATGTTTGATATGGACTTTAAGCATAACACTGTACGCTTTCCTTTTACGCTTTCATATATATTTAATTAAAAATTGGCCCTGCAATCAATGTGCAAATAATGCATAGTTGCGTATTACCGCATGTAAAGTCTCAAGCGAATCTACCATTTCTTGATGCAATCACTGCCAAGCATACAAAAGAATCGCGTGCAATCCTGACAGCTGCATGGTCTTCTTGAGCCAACTTAACGCTCATTTTGCATTTTTCAGAAAGCAACCTTTTGAGCATCATGCTTTGTACATACTCCTATTTATAAAAAATCAATAATAAACCCGAGGTAAAAAAATAATAAAAAAATCGCTGTTGTAGCTGATATGCGGGCACACTTATGAAGCACAATTTAAGTTAATTCTTAGACTGAATATGTTTTTATTAAAACTGAAATATAATTTTAAAATTTCATAAAGCTCAGAAGGTAGTAATAATTGAAAACGAGTGTGTTGGGGAATATATACGAATACTTGAAATGATAAAACATCGAGAACGGGGACGGAAACATGACTTCTTTCATTGAGCAGCAACATAGAATGGCACAAAATATAAAACCGCCCCCAAAAGTTTCAACGTTTTCGAACGCAACGTTCGAGAACGTTGAAACCTTTGGAGCGGTTTTATTTATTGTGCCATTCCATGTTGCTGCTCAATTAAAGGAGTCATGTTCTCGTCCCCGTTCTCTATGTTTTATCCTTTCAAGTATTCGTCTCAGAAGATATAGAAAACTTTCTTTTTAACTTACTTCCCAATACACGCTCTCAGGCATACGTGCTTTTAAATAAAATACAAAATTGGCTGCATGTTTGAACATTTTGCCAAACGCGTTTAAATGCGGTAGCTTTATAGGGTGGGTGGTACTCCTAGTTCGGGTGGTGCATAGGGCAGGGTTTTGTATAGAAACATAATGCGTCACACCATTGCATCTTTGTGAAGCTGCGCGCACTTCGGATACACAGCCTTTACGGTGAATTTTCTAGCTCACCGAAAGAGTGGAAGCGCGCTTTCCTGCCCTTTCCACTCCTCATTCCGCGCGCTCTTTCTACACCCCCATGTTTCTGATCCTCTCTTTCTTTCCCTTTCCGCCCCTCTTCGATCCGCGCGCTTTCTCACACCACCTGCTTCTGCTCCCAACGTTCCTGCATGCTGGGTCCATAGCTCAATTAGCAGTGCACTCGGCTTCCACGCCGGTGACCGAGGTTCGATCCCTGGCACCGGTTGCCTTTTTTTTTTAAAAAAAAAAAGATCGATTAGCGGTTACGGACTGACGGACCTATACACATTTCGTGTTCACGCGGTTCCTGAGGTTGGTTGGCCTTATAAAGCTGCCGTTTTGTACTCCGGAGTCTTGTATGAAACACTGGAGCCATGAAAACCCAGTCCCAATTCTGCCCGAAATGGTAAAATCGAACTAATGGATACCTTCATCGATGTATATAATTGTCGACGAGGGAGTACCATTGTTGGTGCTATTTCGTGCTCCTTTGGGAGAAAATAGAAAATCACTCTGAAAAAGGCGTGCTTTAATTTTTTCCACAAATCAACTTTCGACTGCTACCCTAACACCTGAAAGACATAGGTGTGAATTCATTCCTGGTAAAGTAATTTAATAATACATATAATGTTCGCTGTCAAGCAGTGTTGTATCTGTCGTGCACCGTACACACCATTCCAGCGCTTCTCGCCCAAGCGAAAAACGCTGAGTCACTGGGCTGTGGTAGCGTGCGCGGCGTCTGCTATTCAACAGAATAGAGCTACTGCACATGCTCAGAACGCGTTTCACACCAAAGTGAACAAAGATGACAGCGAGCAGAAGAGGGTTATTGGAATAGTCTATAACAGCTCACGTCCTTCTCCTTTAGGTAAATGTAACCAAAGTTTCAAGATGCGCAAAACAGCTTGAATAGAAACAAACAAAACGGCATTGTGTTGGTTTCGAATGTTGGGAAATATTTTGAAGTGTACGATGCAGGTTTGTTGTTGTCGCTCAAAACCCGACCGCCGCACTAACAGGCTGACACTGGTGTTTGCAGACCGCAAGGGCGACGCGAAATGCGAGAAGGTGCTCAAGGAACTGGAAAATATTGACGACGAGCTGGACACGCACGACATTCCATTCGTGAAGATCGACGACGAAGACGTCATCAAGGAGTATGGCATCGACGCTGTGCCACAACTTGTCTACTTCGAGGATTCCATTCCCAACTTTTACTCTGGTGAGAAAATTCTCCGCAATCTAATTAGGCGATGATAACGAGTCAGGTACTTTACGGTTGGCGATCTGTACTTTTGTCAATTGCCTATGAATGCACTCAATTATACAATGTGTTTCCGGAAACGCGGGAAAAATGGCTCCTGCGAAAACTACGCATCGCGCTGAGAAAAGGTTGATACCGTAGGCTCAGTAAACAATTGATTGGGTAAACAATTAATTTTGAGTACTTAAATATTAATGATTAATTTAAAGGGATGGTTTCAATTAAAATCTTGCTGGGCATCATCGAAAACTACTAAATACACCCACATTACAATTATATAAGGCACACGCAGTATTTAACGGCGGTCCGAAAAAAATGGTCAATTTGGACGCTTTTCTGAATTTCGGTTTATTATCAGAGCGCATCTCCGCGTTGACACCCCCCTCCCCCCCCCCCCCCCCCCCCTTTGCCGTGTTTAAAACGCGCACACTCTAAAAAAAGTCTGTGCGTCTACTTTCACGCACAACACTCGGAGAGCCAATCTGCGCAACTTACGGAGGCAGCTCAGCGAATGACGATGCGGAAACATATGTTTAGACCAAAAAACGCAGCCTGAGTTGTGACATTAAGCAATGCAAGAGTGACGTTTTAAATTGCTTAATGTCACAACTCAGACTGCGTTTTTTGGTCTAAACATATGTTTCCGCATCGTCATTCGCTGAGCTGCCTCCGTAAGTTGCGCTGATTGGCTCTCCGAGTGTTGTGCGTGAAAGTAGACGCACAGACTTTTTTTAGAGTGCAATGTGCGTGCGCCGGCACGCATCGCACAAAAAGGTGCGTCCTCCCAGTGGCACCGACGTCAAAAAGGCCAACCTCATGTGACAGTCCGGAGGCTTTCTCATCTAGCCTCTTCTACGTGCAATGCGTGGCGGCGCACTCACGTTGCGCGTTTTGACGAAGCATATTTTTAGAATATGCTTTGTCTATCTCCCTCGCAGTCGCACGTTGCGCCACTGCGAGAGAGATGACCGAATCACATTTTATGGCGACTGATAGAGCGATCTCGTGTGTGAGCGCTCCTTCTGTTGCCCTTGTAGGTGACGAAATAGATTTCATTAAAACGTGTGGCAGGTTCGTGAGACTGTATGCACGGGTGACTGATGCCGGATTTTATCAGTTTGCTTTTTTCTTTCTCTCTTCCGTTCCCCCTTTCCGTGTTTTTTTTTTTTTCTGTTTTTGCACAGAAATAAATTTTCAGTTGTCAGTCAGCTTCCTGTCCGTGTGCTTCTTCGTCCAGGGGCTCTAACCTGAACATTTGGCGAAAAAGTCGGCGAGGAATTTATTGGCGGCAATTGGCCGGCGCCGCACTTGACCTTGGTGCCGACGAATCACGGCGGTCGAATTCCTCGCCGACGCTTTCGCCAAGTGTCCAAATTAGGGCCCCTTGTCTTACGTTTTTTAGCAATGTTCCCGCAAAAAAAAAAGTATGCACCACCAACTATTCCCAACTACATGCCTTGTTGCGGCCCTTCGACAGAGATCACTACGGCACCAACCTTCTTTCTCTGCGATTCGTAGATTTCGCTGGTGCGATTTTGCTCGCGTTTCCGGTTTTTTGTCATCTGTTCCAAACGCTCATCGCAGAGTCCAGCAGTGTTCACTTCACGGGAGAAGCATTAAAAAATGTGGATTTGTATGACGTTTCATAACATGTTGTACCTGATGTTTCTTATAGCGAAGAGCTATACCTAACTACCGAAAATAGACCATTTATGCAAATTGTTGATATGTTGAATTACTTGCGTTATACGTAAAGGTATATAAGCTATTATTTAGTGCTTAAAAGCTGTTCAGTATACTATCTTTACCCGGAATGAAAACTGAATGTGAAACACAGTGAATCCATAATCGCAGTGTCAAATATTTATGTCTATATACCGAAATGCAATTTTGACGCTATGCAGGAGACTTAATGAAAGAAGAGCAAGTCCTCGAGTGGCTTGTAAAGCAAAAAGAATCAGACGAGATTGAAGATGTCACTCCCGAAGTCCTGGAGTCTCTCATCAAGAAGTCAAACTATTTGGCTGTATTATTCTGTAAGTTTCGTGAATCGTGTACTTCTAACCGTACAAAGACTATCTATCTTCAAACTTAAGCACTCACAAAATACTTTCTTTTAGATGACAAGGACGACGCAAGGTCAAAAGAAGTGCTCCGCGAATTGGAGAATATTGATGACGACGCAGATCAACACGACCTGCCTTTTATTAAGATTGACGACGATGAAGTCGCGAAGAGCTACGGCATTGATGACGAGCTGCCTTTGTTAGTCTATTTCGAGAAAGAAATCCCCAACATTTATGAAGGTAAGTTTTCACTGAAAATGCTACCTGAAGAAACTACACTCAGTAACAAGGTGAGCATGGCAGAGGCAAACTTCAGCAGAGGGGAGCTTCAGCGCAAGCTTCCTACCTTCGACAATGCTTTGGCCTCTCGTGCACCTCGAGCGCGCACAGGCAAAGCAAAGCGGAAGGCAGGGCGCTCGTTCTGGAGGCCGGTCGTTCGAACGACATGCCCTGTCCTTCTCATTTTGCCAGTGAGTGATTATAGGCAGGAATCTAGAGAGCACTACTTTAAGCTTGAGGAATTATTTATGAGTAACGGGGGAACTGGGAACAAAAAAAAATCATTTCCAGGAAATTATAATTTTTGGATGTGCTCTTTTGCGTTTAATCTCCTGGTAGAGATATGTGGATTCGTTTCACAAAATGCATTGTGTTCAACCTACTCTTTCCGTTAGATCTGCTTAATATTTTCAGTGGGGTGCATCGTTCTCAGGCAGTTTGAATTAACTATTTAGTTGTAGTAATTATGAAAGGCGGGCGCACACGTTTTTCGTTTAGTTCTTGAGTTACATGTTCATTATTTATGCAACATGCATGAAAAACTGGTAGATGTCATACCTGCGATGTCACAAATCCCTTTTATCCGCTGTGGTATGACGAGTTTGAATAGTTAGGGGGAGTCGAAACGTTCCAGAGTTGATGTGGGGGCATAACAGTGGGAGATGAGATTTTCTGTTCCTTTTCCCCGAATGTTTACATTGAAATGTATAAAATGACTCAACGAAAAAAAAAAGGGGGGGGGGCGGGCGATTCACCCCCCCTCCCCCCCTTTCTCCTTCCCAATCACTGTTCTGATGAAACTGGGGAAGTTTCGTTGTTTAACAATATTCTGAAACTTTACCTGAACAACAGGCGACTTGACTAAAGAAGAGGAGGTGATTGAGTGGTTGCTGCACCAGATGAAATCGGATGACATTGAGGAAGTAAGCGACAAGATCCTGGATTCCCTCATCGAAAAACACCCGCACGTCGCCGTTCTCTTTTGTGAGCATTTCTCCACTTCTACTCGTGTCACTGTGTGAGTTCAGCTTTGCTAATACTGGGGCGCTCCCGATATTCAGAGCTCGAAATGTAGACAGGGGAGTTACACCAACACCACGTGGACAATGACAAGCCGATATGCTCAATTAAAACTTCGGATTAAAATAATCTGGATTGTGCCTTTAATACGTTTAATACAATCAAAAAATTCCAAAACATTATGTAGCGCAAAAAAAAAAAAAAATAATAGGGCAGCGCTGTGCTGCGCTCGCAGCAGTCGAAGGCAGGAACCTTTCTGTGGCATTATGCCAAGAGCGTCGTTCTGTGAACATTGGGAACTGCGCTACACTAGATTTTATGACCATGTGTACGAGCACAATGGCAATTTCACCATAGACTGCAAACCAGAAGAAAAGCGATGATAAATTCTGCATCAAGTTTGGCAAATCAAAAGCAGAGACACTTGAACTGATTCAGCAGGCTTATGTCAAAAAGCAGTGAATTGTGTGAAGTGTTTTGAGTGGCACTCGCGCTTCAGAAATGGCGGAACATCATTGAAACACCAAGGGGGAACGGAGAAAATCTCCTTACCTTTAATCGCCTTCCAGCGTTGTTCTGCCATTCTTGAAGCGCGAGTACCACTCAAGACACTTAGCGCAATTGACCGCTTTTTGACATAAGCCTGCTGAATACTTTTGAAAGGTCTCTGTTTTAGACTTACCGAATTCAACGCAAAATTGACGTCCACTCTTGCTTTGCTTTGCTTTGCGGTATATGGTGAAATCGCCACTGTGCTCGGTGCACGCGGTCCCAAAAACTCGTGTAGCGCAGTTCGAAATGTTCACAGAACGACACTCTTTGGGATAATGACACAGGAATGTCCCTGCCTTCGACCACCGCACGCGCATTACACCACTGCCCTCTCTTTTTACGTTACAAACTCAGTTTCAGAACTTGTTGATCGCAGCTTGTATTCCTCACCCTCTATAAGGCATCAGCACACCTTGCCCGACATCGGGCAAAGAATGACGACGTATAGTGACGATGAAAAGCGGTGCACGTGCCTTGAGTTATCTAGGCGGTGATGATTAGACGAGCAATACATAAGGGTTTACGAAATCAGTTTAGTAAACGTTTAATTGAAAGCTGCAATTAATTTAATTAACGCGCTATTTTTCACGGAGATATGCATGATTATTTGCATGTTGGTTAATATGCAGTTTATTAAGCTTGAATGTTTTTTTATAATGCCCATAATGTATTCTTCATGTTTTTATGCCTCTTGAATTTATATACTAAGTTACCAAGAAAGAACATTTGCTAAAATCTATAGTGTCCTCTCTATATTTTGTTGTTGTTTTGTCGAAAATCTCATATTTACTGTTTACAGTATTGCCGAGAACTTATTGAAAGATGTTTGCTTTATGTGTGAAAGATAAACTCGTTGATAGGCAACACTCATATCTTTCATTTATCATTTATTTAGAGCACATACCTAGGTCGGTAATGTGATCAGAATAGACAAGCATAAATAATTATTTGAAACTACTTGATGCATTTAAAAACTACTTTAACGTCCAGAAATATTCTAGTTTCTTACTTTGATGCTTTTAAACAATGTGACCGACCAACATTTATATCTTTCAGATAAGGAAAATGACAAGAAATCCGATAAAATTCTTCTTGAATTAGAAAACATTGACGATGAAGCTGATGACCACGAGATTGTGTTTCTCAAGACCAATGACCCAGAAGCTGCCAAGAAGCACGGCATTGAGACCTTCCCGCGGCTAGTCTTTTATGATAACGAAATTCCCAATTTATACGATGGTATGTAAGAGTACACTCATTGGTTATTGAGAAGTCCTGAAGTAACTTGATAGATAAAAGACTTAGGCATGCTTAAATTGAACATAGTGCCATAAGAACACTAAGAACTTTACACAAGCATATGTATAATATTTCAATGAAGTGACAACCTACTTGAAATGTACCTGCCGGACAGAATTATCAGATTGTTTTAAATACTTAAATAACACAAATCAAACTAAGTCGTAATGCGAGCAAGTGAATAAAAAAGATGTTTTTAACATGAACTACTTCTATACAAGGAAGTCCGGTTTTCATAGTCGGATATTTTCTTATCACACTTTACTATAACACAGCTAAGACGACAGCCCACAGTACCATAGTATTCAGGACTCAGTTTAGAACGTGTGCATATTGCGGAAAAATAATTCCTGATCCGATATCAGCGTAATACATGTAGGTCTTTCTTGTTCGTAAAAAAATCTTGCTTGATGTCTGCCATGCAAAATTTTTAATATTACAGGAGACCTCATGGATGAAGATAAGGTTCTTGCTTGGTTCATCAAGCAGAAAGAATCTGAAGAAATAGAAGAGATTACAGAACAGATGCTGTTCGATCTCGTGGATGAGAACCCTTTCCTGGTTGTCTTGTTTTGTGAGTCACATATTTTCTCAATCTTTTGCGTAATAAAATAAAATACATTTCAACAATGGGGCAACTCGCATTATGAAATCGGTATTTCAGACATGAAATGTCTGATTAATACTCACCATTAACAAAATAAAAGTAGCCTATTATACAGATGTACTATCATGCATATGTATGACAGATCAATGTTATAAGACATTGAAGATCAATACTAGGAGCCGCTTAACTTAGAATACATATATCATACATTAGAGTATAACTCTTTTAAAGTATATATTTTAAATATTGTTCTAATTTCATTTTATAGTTCAGTAGATCTCTTCAAAAATTATATCACTTTACACTGGGTAATGTGCTGCCATTTGGGGTTTGCAATTTCAGATGACAAGGACGACAAGGCAAGTGCTGAAGTCTTGGCAGAACTTGAAAACATTGATGACGATTTGGATAAACACCAAGTTCCCTTCGTGAAGATTGACGACGACAGTGTTGCTAAAGATTTTGGCATACTCGATGAGCTGCCTGCACTTGTGTACTTTGAGGATAAAATACCAAATGTTTATGAAGGTATGAACTCATCAGATTCGGTTCAACTAACCTGTAAATACTTTCTGAGAAGGCTGCAACCATCAACAGCCAGAAATTGTTTGCCAAAGTGACATCAATAGAACTACCAATTTATATTAATAGGAAATCTGAAAAATGAAGAGGAGGTACTGAAATGGATACTACACCAGAAGGCAGAGGACACCATTGAAGAAGTGACTGAAGAAATTTTGGAAATGCTTTTTCGTACAAAGGAGTACGTTCTGGTATTTTTTGGTGAGTTTTAAAGAAAAACTAGTATTTCACCAACCTTACCTTTTCTCACTAAATACTGAGGTGTGCTGGTATAATATTAAAACTTTTCGTCTGTGCATATAACAGCTTGGGATTACTTATCTTTTCTCTATTGATTGAACTGCAATATTCAATAATGTTAAAGATTGGGTAATTAGCGACAAACAATGATCAGGTGGAATGAGGAAATGAGAATGGTAGGTGTAAAAAAGAAAGAGGATCCTGCAATAAAACTATGCACTGTAAACACAATTTACATTTTGGGCTGACCTAATTTTATTAACTTTTGCACATAAAATCCACCACAAAGAAATGGTAACACAAACAGTTTCAACACATGGGATTCAGAACAAAAATTTGACCTCCCGAATATTGTGTATGCCGTATAGTGTCATGTGCTGTATGCATCTTCCTGCTACATTTTCAGCGGCTGACGAACGGACGGCTGCTCAGGAACACACTGCACGCTCTGCTGCTGAAAGCACACTCTCTTTACTGAGCCTTTAGGCCTGCTTTTTGAGGGCTTTGTGGCCAATTAGACACGAACAAAATAAAAATTAAGGCCGAGCCCGATCAACATACCTAAAATAATTAAAGCCTGTGAACAACCTCCTCCACCTTCACGTAGTGTTATCACACTCGAATAGCGCCAACTCAGCAATTGGACCCGAGCCAACGCCCAGCGTCCTTCGAAGCATTTCGCACTGACGGTACGCGAGGCCCTGCCGAACGCTGACACAGCCCTCGTGCCTGAACTTGAAACTTGAAATGCTAGTGCACGGGCTTTCGTTGTTCTATGTAGTGTTCACCCGATGTGCCGAGCCATATTGTTATCGGGCGGCGGCAGCAACAAAGCGAAAAGGAATCGTTACAGCAGGGGTGGAACGGCTGCGCCATTTGCGCCATTTTGCACCAGACGCATATATCTGCGCCATTCTGCGCCATGTTGCAGAAACTGCGCCACAACCAACACCACAACCAATGCGCCAGTATGCGCTAAATCGCAAAACGTGCCCCCAAAAAATTTTATTTTTTGTCCTGGTTTCGGTTTTTATCGACTCGATTGGCAACAATGAGCACGTTTAGCTTGGTCGGCCTTGTAATCCTTTGTTCTGTTTATTCTCCCTGTGTATCTCGAGTTGGAAGCGCGTGAAAGAACTCGGATTCTAAGCGCCACACGACCTGCGACTGGATTGTTATTCTTCAACCATAAGCGGTCGGCCTAGGTGAGGTCGAGTCGTTCAGCGTCAGATTGCCCGAAGCTCTGTGGCCCGGGATCCAAACGTTAGCCTTCATCGTTGTTGGAACCGCATTCTCTCAAGATAAATTTTGATTTGATAGAGCTGCACGCGGTCTGATCCGAAACCTTGCTGGCCAGCAGCCGTCACGCGAGCGCTTCAGATACGATAACTCCGTTAATCATAGTCTGCTGCTTCGATATTGAGTTGCACAACTTGAAATTTGTTTCCCTGTTCCTCCGCGCTACTGCACGCCCGTCGCTTACGCACGCCACGTGGTTCGCAGATATAATTACTATGTTGAGCACGTGTGGGTTGTGCGATAAGCAGTGCTGGTTTGCATTTTGAGCAGCTGAAAGCCACTCGGAAATATCAAGGACGCTATCTTCAGAAACATATGGTACTTGCTTTTTGGTTCTCATTAAGGCTCACAAAGTTTCAAGTTTTCGCATCTGTTACACTGTTATCCCATCTACCTAGGTCCCTAACCACTCATGTTCATCCATGCTGCTTAGCACAATTGAAATTGCTCCCGTGCTTGTCTAAGGCACAAGCTGAAGTGCAATGAAAACTGAACTGAGCTGCTCCTAGCCTGCTCCAGAACGTAGTTTTAGCTGCTCCCAACCTGCTCCTAAACAGCTGTTTCAGCTGCTCCCGTGGCTGCTCCCAAGCGCAGTTCATGAGTTCCACCCCTGTACAGTGCAACGCAGTGAAATGTTATCAGACAAGTCTTTAGTTAATTATTTCCTTCCTTACATTCTCAGCCCCTGACAACTGCAAGGAGTGTCCAAAAATCCTGGCGGAACTGGAACACATTGACGACGAGTCTGATGACCACGGAATCATCATTGTCACAACAGATGACACAAAGCTAGCCAAAAAGCAAGCAGGAGTTACTCGTCTCCCTGCTATTGTCCTCTTTCGCAATGGTCAGCCTGTACACTACAAAGGTCAGTTAAGATTAACATGAATTACTTATTACCTAGCATTCAAGCTATCAATGCCCCAAAAATATTTCAAATTGTGGAAGTCGAAGTTTTGTAGAACTCTCCCTGATTATTGCTTCATCGCAGGCGACCTAATGGATGAAGATGCGATTTTGAAGTGGATGACCAGCGAAGAGGTTCTTGATATACCTGACCAGATTGAGCGAGTCAACCAGAAGATGCTGGAAAAATTGCTCAGCACCAGTGATTACGTCGCTGTTCTTTTCAGTAAGTAGTTTTGTTCTATCAAGAAAAATAAGCTCCAAATAAAGCAACAAGTGTTGCATGAAATAAAACCTCATGTGAGCCTTCTTAATCACGAAACCTCCATGCTTTCTTTGTGGTTCTATGCAGCAAAAGACAAGTGTGCAGAATGCGATAAAGTTCTTGCGGAGCTTGAGAACATCGACGACGAAGCAGAAGAAATGGACATCGATTTTGTCAAGGTCACTGACCCAAAAATTGCGAAGTCTTATGAGATTGTGTCCCTGCCGGCATTGGTGTTCTTCAAGAAAAAATTCCCCCAGTTTTATGATGGTACGATGCAAATGCTCATTTGTGAGCCGACGCTTTAGTCAACAGCACTCGCATATTATTAAGGGCGTGTTTTTCGTATCCGCTGCACATTCAACTGCAGGCCGTAAAATGCTACCTTTTTCAGGAAACCTGAAAGACGAAGACCAGGTACTCAAGTGGCTGACAGAGAGCAAAGAAAGAGCCAACGACGAGATTGAACTCGTAGATCGCAGGATGCTGGAAATGCTCTTGGAGGATATGCAAAACGTTGCTGTGTTTTTCTGTGAGCCTCATTATTTAGGCAGAAGCGTAGCCTTCTAGTTAAGTCAATAAGTCAGGATATACAAATAAGGGACTGGTATTTCCCCAATGAAGGCTAACAGCAAGTATCAGAAAAATGAATGCTGTTGCACCAGCTCTCAAACTTGGTTTCTAAGAACTTGAAGGCTCCCTAGAGTTCCCTAGGGGTTTTTAAGTATTCAATAGCTGTCTGTTATCTCTTCCCCTGAGTAACGTGCCTTTAAGGATCCGCATTATTCAAGCAAATTTTAGTCTTGTAGTTTCAAGACTAGGACCTAAACACCTTTTAACTTTTCGTGGCACATTTATTTTTATTAATTATTTTATTTATTCTGCACACCTGTACAATTTATTGCAAAGGATTTCAGAACCAGGAAGGAATTTTACAACTGACCCTAAAGGAGTTCTCCCAAATCGAAAACTTTAAGTCCTTGAGATTTTGAATATACTGAGCGACATAGTTAGCGCGGACAAGCGATTACCGGTTTAATCTGGTTTTTCTCTTGAGATCTAAAGGTTGTCATTCAAACTATTAGGATGGTGGAAAGTCTTTAACAGAGCGCTAACCTAAGCAGTAGAATTTGTTACCTAACAAACTTTCAAGATAAAATTTAAAAAAAAATCGTCGGTGTGTGTTTATGTTAACAGTGCCATGCACCGTACAACCAAAACAATGTATGCGTAAAAATGCCCTTTAAAGATTTAAACTACGTACCAGAAGTTTGTATTCTTAAAGAGTGCTTCACAATTACTATATTAACATATGAACAAAGAAAATTATTACCGACCATTTCTTTTACAGTCGACGACAACTGCCCAGAGTGCGACAAAGTTTTGGAAGAACTCGAGAACATAGATGACGACACTGATAAGCATGGCATATACTTTGTAAGGATAGACGATGATGCCTATGCAAAGGAACTTGGCGTATCTGAGTTTCCATCTCTTGTATATTTTGAAAATGGCACACCAAGTATTTATATGGGTAAGTTGACACTGCCAATTCATTTGTAGTTAATGCTCATGCTAACGCCACCATGTTTATAATGCAATTCTACGCGTCAGACATTACGTTTAATACCCGCTTCTCATTCACACATTGTATATTTCTGAAATCATTTTGGTTGCGAGCTTGTTCAGTGTACTAATTACTGTTTCCTAACATGTTTCATGGTTTATTTCAGGTGATCTCACAAAGGAGGAGAAAGTACTAGACTGGCTGATTCAACAAAAAAATGAAGATACAATTGAGAACATCAACAGAGAAATGCTAAACAAAATGATAATTGAAACAGATTACCTCGCCGTATTTTTTTGTAAGTATGCCTGAGTATGTTTAGCTGTTTGTACTATAGTTCTACACAGCTTATTTTTAACCCCATATTTATAAGCTCAAGTGCCCAGAGAACTGATTAGTTATAAAAGAGTTGTTTTTATATTAAAGATCTTGACGATGACGACGAAAGCCAGGAAATCCTCTTGCACCTAGAGAACATTGACGATGATTGCAGCGACTACGAAGTTCACTTGGTCAAAATGCAAGACAACCTGATGGCCAAAAAATATGGATTTAGAAATCCTCCTGGCATTGCATACTTCAGACATGGCAAACATATCAAGTACACAGGTCAGTGTTCACAATTTTACATTTTACATGAAACCAAAGTGCGTTTTACCTTGAAACAAACACTTATTATATGTACAGTTTTTAATATAAGGAAGTTCTAAAGGTTTTTCCAATTTGCTGTCAGTATAGTAGCTCTCAGTGCCGAAATTCGAAAGATCTGTCGTTACGTTGAGCCATCCGAAACTTTGCCAACTGCTTCGGTCTTGGGAATCTCTTTTTAATCCTTGTATTATATAAACCCTTTCACTTTAGAAATATGTAGAAAAACAAGAAAAAAAACAAGGACACTGTGCAAAATACTTCTGTGGGCTTCATTCATTAAGTGCAGTTAACTGAACAATCCCCAATTCTCGATTCACTGCAGGTGATCTCTTCGATGAGGAAGAGGTGTTGGAGTGGCTCACCAATCCAGAAAACATGGAGATGGACGACGCTATAGAAAGAGTGAACAAGAGAATGTTCGAGAGGATTCTTGCAAAATCGGAATACTTGACAGTCTTCTTCTGTAAGTTGCCTGCAAAATTGATTGCAGGACGCTGGTCATTATGCAATTTGGGTGTCCCAGATAACATGTATCAAACTCGAAAAAAGAACAAAGTGCTCGGCGGGAGTGAAAACAACTGTATGTTGTTAGCAAACGTCTTACGAACGTGAACGGGATTTTTAATGTGCCTAATTATTTAATTAATTAAGATTAATTAACTAACTTTTAGTTATATTATGAGGGCCAAGGTTTGTGCTGTAAAGTTGTATAGCGCATTGAGAAACACTTAAATAAGGTGTTTGATACAGGGAACGCTTTGCGCGCTTCTTTTTTTTTTAGCTTAAAAAGAAAGCCCCCGAATTATAAAAAAAGGCCACGTGACAACGCAGCCACGCGTCGCGCTTGCAGCGCTCTCGAACGTGCTCTGAAAGAATAAAGTCCGCTCTATCACTGACGCGCTGTCCGAAAAAGGGCTTTGTGTTCGTGTATCCCGAGGATAGGCATGAGCACGTGCTGGCTGCAAAGCCCTCTCTCGGGCAGCGCACCAGTGATAAGGTGAACCGTTCCTTGAGAACGGGATCCGGCCAACTCATCGAAAGATAACTCGTCGACGGCCAACTTGTCGACGGCCAATTCGTCGAACAGGCCAATTCGTAATAGGGAAATTCGTCAAAGGGCAACTTGTCGAAAGGGCAATCTGTCGAAGGGCTACTCGTCGAATGTGTTGAATGTCGGTCCGAGGTAAAAGTTTGTGGTTCCTCGTTATCTTCTGACCTAAATTTTGATTTCTGTTTGGACTACAGACAGCACCTTTCTTAGATTACAAGGCGGAAAGAAAAATTGTAAGAGGGCGAAGACGGGACAGTACATTGAGACGAATTGAGAAATGTTACTTTCGGGATTCTCCTTCTGTTTGTTTTCTTTATTACTTTTGTAATGAGCCGCCCCAAACTGTCGAAACGAAGCTGCGTGACTGGTGGGCCAGGTGGGTTAGCATTTTTGTTATGAGCCGCCGCAGACTGTCGCCGCGAAGCGGCGTGAACGGGTGGACCGAGTTAAAGCCCCTTTATCCTGGGAAAAGTGGCGCCATTCATTGTTGTGGAAATGCTCGAGACACGTGCCGCGCGCCACTTCTGAGAAGAACATGGCGTCTGAAATCTAGCTCAGTGCTGCGCTGTGCCGCCATGATCTTCCCAAGGGCTGCACGCTGTACGTGCCTCGTGCATCGACGCACCTTGCGCTACTTTTGAACCATGAAGGAGTTTTAGGCTGAGTAGGTTAATACACGCCCCAGTGATACACGCGCGACGCAGTTATCGTCCCCCACTGCACCGTGAAAGCGAAGAAAGTTGCAAGTTGTCATCTTCGACAAGAAAGAGCATATTGGAGGTATGTTACTGTGCGGTGATACTACGCATTACTATAGGGCAGGATTTGCTTTAATATTTAAAGACAAAAAAAATATATATATATTACGGCTTTGAAAGGGCAGCGACCAGTTGGCCTCTTCGACGAGTTGCCCTATGACGAATTGGCCTATTCGACGAATGAGCCGTCGACGAGTTGGCCTCGACCCCTTGAGAACACGTTTCAGAGTGCTGCAAGCGCGAACCGTGGGTGCATTGTCACATGTTCTTTTTTTTTTTTAAATATATTTCGCGGGCTTTCTTTATAGACTAAAAAAAAAAAAAGAAGCGCACAGAGCGTTTTAAGCAGCAAACACCTTAACTGTGTTTTCTCAATGCGCTCTACAAGTTTCCGATTTACATCTAGGCCTTTAAACGAATAAATAAAGGTTAGCTAATTAGTCTTATTGAAATAACTAGGCGCACTAAAAAAAAATTCGTGCACTTTCGTAAGACGCTTGCTAGCAACATACAGTTGGACTCACTCCAACAGAGCACTCCATTTTTTTTTTTTTTTTTTCCCAAGTTTTGGTGCAAGTTATTTGGGAAACTGAGTGCTTATTTTTCCTTACAAATGCCATCTTGCCAGATCTCATACTCCTGTAAAAGGTTCCTAGACAGTGAAAACTAAACTATCTGCAATCTTCATAATTTTGTAAACCTTCAAAGTAAATGACACCGAAGTGTGCAAAAGGACATGTATATAAACCCTTGGCAAAAGAAAAGTGAATGCATGCTTACACTTATAATTCAGTAGCAGTGCATTTAAAAGTTGTCTTAATAACTATCCTTCCCAGAGCTGTCAGCAATGGATGGACAGCATGTATATGTATTTGAAATTTGCCAACTATAAGAGATAAAAAACAAGCTATCTTTATAAAATTATATAATGTATTAACATATTGGTTTTTCATATTATTTCTTTTTCGTGTAATATTTTAAGCTGGCCTGCTTCAGTGTAATAAGAAAGAAAGTGATAGTTTGAAACATTCTGTTTAATCACCGATATGCATGTCATTGTGGCATTTTTGTTCACTTACAGACAGTAAATCAGGATGCAAGCAATGCATTAAGGTTTTGGAGGAACTAGAAAAGATTGATGATGATGCTGACGCCCACGGAATTAACATGGTAAAAATTGACGACACTGCTCTTGCCAAAAAGTATGGTGTCTTTGCCATCCCGGCCATTTTGTTCTTCAATAACGAAGACAAAGAACCCGTCATCTATGCCGGTGAGTATCAAATTTGAACTATCAATTCTGTAAAGTGTGAGTATCAATCATAGATGATAAGCTTATAATCAATAGTCTCAAGCAAGATAGAAAGGTAGCAGAGGCTGAAAGAGGATATTCAAAATTGAACTCTTGGAGAGCGTTGAGCTATTTTCCCTCTTACGCCTTCTTGGGTTAAAATAACAGAGTACAGGTAACATTAAATGGCATTAAATCTCCCCCAGATGGACACTTTGGCCTACATTCCGTCTTTTTGTGTTCATTTAGATATGGAATTGAAGTAAACACGAACTTTATTGGAACTGTGCTGTCATGCTCCTTTTTACCCAACCGTAAGAGCTAATGCACAGTGTGCAAGCGTTTTGATGCAAATCTTGACACTCTAGGTAGCTGATCGTATACATCACTTCACCCTCCCACTGTATATATTTCTCTGTTGAAGGTGACTTTAAAAGTGGAGATCATATCCTTGAGTGGATCCTCCTGCAGAAAAATCCCGGAAGCGAAATAATCGAGGAAGTGGAAGGGGACGCTCTCAAGAAGCTCATCAAGGCCGCACACTATCTGGCAGTGCTTTTCTGTAAGTGTACCACCTTCCAATAGCAAAGCGTTGGGAAACCTTTTCACCTCCCCGAATTGCACTCTGTTCTAAGAATCCTGGTTATTATAAGCATAATAATTTACCGTACATAGATAACTTTGCAACTATAAATTTGAAACCTTGTTTGACCCCAACAAAGGATCACAAGGCGGTAAGTTGGGCGACTTGGTTAATCATCTTCAAAAGTGGAAACAGCGCAAAAAAAAAAGAAAATAGCAAAGGACGAGTAAAAGAAGTGTACAGACACAGCGCTGTGCACTTCTTTTACTCGTCCTTGGTTTTTTTGTTGTTTTTTTTTTCGCTGTTTTTATTTTTGAGAAGGATATCACATAGACAAAACACACAGGTTGAGGTTTTATAAATATCCAGTATATTTTAAGGTTTTCGTTTATTTGGGTTCTGGGTTGGGAATAGTGGCCAACATGAAGAGTACTAATTTGCCAGCACCGGCAGAAGTTGTCTCCATTTTGCACCTTAATTATTTGCAGATACAGAGGGCCCAGAATGCGAAGATTGCAAAAACATCCTAAATGAGCTAGAGAACATAGACGACGATACCGACCGTCACGGAATACAGTTTGTGAAGACCACAGATGTCGCCATGGCCCAAGATTATGGAGTGAAAGACTTTCCAGCCCTGGTTTACTTCGAAAAACAGATTCCAAACTTTTATGATGGTAAGCCTACAATCGCTCGAGATTTTTCAATATCCAGATTACGAAACACCCTCCAAATTTGCTCAGGTGACCTGAGTGCGGAAGAAGAGGTACTCCAGTGGCTTGTGGTACAAAAAACCGAAGACACAATAGAAACGGTAAATCGAGATATGCTGGACCACCTCATTGAAGAGACACAATACCTGGCAGTATTCTTTTGTGAGTATACAATCTCTTAGCTCACGTTAATTCTTAATAATTTAAATGGGACATTTCACGTGCCCTTTCTCTTCCTCGTGAATATTGCCATCGCGACATTTCCGTGGTGCATCGGGTATCAAGTGGCTATTGGCTGCATGAGCTTTTCTTTTATTTTTTTCTCTAACTATTTCCCGGGCTTTACCTCACTGTAGTGCATACGTTGTTCTATGGCCTCGTAGCCCAAGTGACGGAAGAATCGTGCGGACAGTGAAAATCCCGTTTTGTTGATTTCTGATAAAATGTTTTTCTGACCAGCCATGGTGACGTCTCGCGCGCAGCTAAACATTGTCACGAATGAAAACATAAACTTGACTAATAAAACTGGAAATGAACGTTTAATGCTGCGAACTTGTGCCGAGAAACATAAAGTCAAAAAGATCGTACGTACTTTGACGGTGACGGAAGGATGACTCACACAAGCAGCCATGCGAAGCTCCTTTTGTAAGCGCGTGGGTATCTAGAAGTTTCCGAGCTCAACAAACAACAAAATTATCGAATCATGTGATAAAAAAACAAGCGCTGGCGGGGATCAAATTTCAGCCACGGGCGTGGGAGTCGAGCACGCTGCTGACTCAGCTATTCGCACGCGGCATTATCTGCTTCGGAAGAAATTTACTTTTAGAAGAAACTTCGATATAACTAATTCTGATGTAATTAAGTTCCCAATGCAAATAATTTTATATTCCTACTATCCCACTCTCACTAAAGACCATTCATATCATCGATTAAACAGAGTAACGCAGTTTCGATTATCAGCTAGTCCCCACCCATTGTGCAACCACACATCGAAAACGTAAGCGACGAGAAGAGAAGAAAAACATATGAGACGATTTTGGTTTATTCATCTACGCATGGTCGGATACCTCACAATATTCTGTGTCCCAGAATAAAAGGCCACCATTTTTTATTGCTCAGTTTTCGAGGGCTTGCAGAAATTCGTAACAAGTTTAAGCACAAATGTCTCAAAAGCTCGAAGGCCTGTTCATTGTAGTGAATACTCGTCGACAAAATGTTGAATAAAAGAAGGGCGGTCACCCGAGAAAATGAAAAAAAGCAGTGGCTGCGTGGGCCACGGGACGCGACCCTGACAACACGGGCGCAATGGGGGACAGTGGCGCCATCTAGGTAGTGTGTATAGAAACTGCGAAAAATTTAAATACAACACTCATCAATTAAACACAACCTAAAAGCATGTTCTCTAACCAATAACAAGCGTAAAAATAGCTATAATGTGCAAGCATTGCAGGGACATTCGCCTCCCGCGTTTTTATTTTAAACAGGAAAAGTGAACGCCATGACTGGTTTTCTCTGCTGTCCCAGGAACCTTTCTCCGAGACTCGAGAGCAAAAGGAGACTCCCCCCCCCCCCCCCCCCCCCACCCCTCTCCCCTCCCCTTTACTGGCTTTTTAACTTATTTTGTATACCTCTGTTTCGGCTTGCTAAAGAAGCACTAAGGTGGATTTTGAGATTGACTTTTTATAGTGGAAACTCGATCCATGCGTTTTAAGCATAATAAAAATAGAGTCAGGGCCTTATCTAGCAACACCAAAATTACTATTATGCGTGGCCTTTTTTTTCCCTATTTAGAAAGCAACCAAATTTCGCGACACGCACCTTTTTTTCCGAAATGTTTCGGAAAGGGGGCGTGTCTCGATGTTTCGTAGTTTTGTATGCGAAACAAAAATGCACGATCGTAATCCTTCTCGATTCTCAGGGACGCTTAGAACATGCAGGTTGAGTTTGCATCAGAAAACGGCAACCCCAAAGACCACTATATCACACCATGCACAAGACATGAAATAATGCCAGTGTTCAGGGAACATAGAAGATGGTTATGTCTCTAAGTCAAACTTTTGCTCTAACAAAATTTAGAATATGGCGAAGCTTCCAGTCCACAGCACTCAAAACATATAATACATGTTCTACTCTTAATATGTACAAGAGATTTTGTATCATTATCTAGCCAAAGTTATAAAATTGCTCGATTGTCCCTTTAATTAACACTTACGTGAATGAATATAACTAGTGTATCGAGAAGAACCAAGACAGCATACTAAGACGGCCATACTCTGAAGATTCTACTGGTCTAGAGTTGCATATCACCAAGCATGTAGTATGGGCTGTCATGTGTTTAATGCTTCTATGTTTAAATATTAGCGCTCCCTTTCCACAGATAAGCCCCACTGCAAAGCATGTGATCAAGCCCTCCACGAACTGGAAAACATAGATGACGATACAGACCTCTACGGAATCCACATGGTGAAGATCCAGGACCCAACCCTTGCCAAGCGTTATGGCATCAAGACATTCCCCGCACTAGTCTACTTCAGGAACGCCAATCCACTCATCTTCGACGGTGTGTGTCGCAACGCCATCGAAAATAGAAGACAATGTGTACTTTAGCGATCCTGTTATGTTTCTCTTCTGGTAACAGGTGACATAAAGAATGAGGAGTCGGTGCTCGAGTGGCTCATTGACGATGACAACAGGGAGCTGGCAGATGAAATCGAGGCCGTCAATGTACGAATGCTCGACAAGCTTGTGGAGGATTCTCCCTTTCTCGCTGTTCTCTTCTGTGAGTTTGTTTCCACTTTCACACAAATTAACGTAGAGCCTGTCGAAGGAACAAAAAAAAAACAACTTGAATATTACAGACGCAATAATTTACCGCGGGTAGGACCCGCACCGACAAGCAAATCACACGGATCGTTCACATGCTAGTATGGGGAACTGTTAAAAGCTAGTCATATAGCAGAAAATTATATTGTTATGCACTGTTGGCAAGCCAAACTGTTCTCTATATACTTGAAAATTACAATACTATAAAGCCACTAATTAAGCACAATGTCTCTATTTAGGATATGTGTTCTGGACTAACACCAGTAGTACTGCAGAATCGTCCCCTACTGCCGTTTCTTATTAGAACTTTCGTGCCACCATTACGATAACAGCAAATAATGTATTGTGCATCAAATGTAAACACTCCCTGTTCAAACGTAAAAACACCGATCGAAGCATCAAATATTTTATAACTAGGCCTTGTATTCCAGATGAAGAGGAATGTGAAGATTGCGAAAAAGCCCTCAAAGAGCTTGAAAATATAGACGACGAGGCTGATGTGTTTGGGATCGACTTTGTCAAGATCAACGATTTCGAAGCTGCAGTGCAGTATGGTGTGACTACATTCCCTACACTTGTCTACTTCCGGAAAAAGACGCCAGTCATATATGATGGTAAGCGTCTTCCAACTTGTGTTAGAAAATATCTGCAGGGTCCACAGGCAGGCGATAAGGCGAAAGCCTAGCCCTAATTGTGGGAAAATAATTAAACTGAACACAACACAAGACAACGCTCAACCTGTGTTGTGTTCCTTTTCTTAGTCCTCGTTCTTAGGAGCTGTTACATCTACAACATGTTACACTGTTGGTGCATCTTTCAGCCTTAAACAGGCCAGCACAAATCCCTCACTAAAGACCTTATGCTGAAATGTACTGCAAAAGTTTAGTTTGATTATGAATCTTTGGGAGAAAATCTTGAAGGAATAAAATATATTTTGACCATATTTCAGCAACCTCTGTGCTAAGTTAAATTGTCCGGTTAAACAAACTTTGTGGATGGAACCTAAAATTGTTTACCCTGACATATGTATTTTGTCAAGCTTGGTATCACAGCGGCTCAAGCACTCAGTGATCCACACTCCCATGAGGTGTAAAAGGTTCTGGATAATTCAAACTTCCAAGTGTATTTTATGACTACCAGAACCACTACTTATCAAATGGCTAAGTACAGTTAATTGCATGTACCAATAGATGGCTTCTGAGTCATACCTCTCATAATCTTCCTTGCAAGTTTATCTGCCCCAAACTAACATTCGATAAAGGTTAAGTAACCCAACCCTGTTTACTTCTCTGGACGTTCTCTTCAGCGTTGTTGCCTGCATCTTGATTTCCAGGGGACCTCCTTAACGAAGAAAAGGTCTTGGCATGGCTAACGAGTCACGAGAATATAGAGTTGAAAGATGAAATTGAAGAGGTCAACAGAAAGATGCTAGACAAACTCCTCGATGAAAATGATTTTGTGGCCGTCTTTTTCTGTAAGTTGTTCAATCCCATTTTTCAAGTATTTCTAACAAAAAGGTTTAACACTTCTACACTGCTCCCGTTATAGAATTAGTGACAAGTGAAAGGTTGTTTGCAATAAAAACAAACGGGAGTTTGATATATATTTATAAAACATACTGATTTCCTGTTATTCACAGATGACAGCAACTGTCCGAAATGCGACAGCGTTTTGGAGGAGCTTGAAAACATTGACGATGAGGTGGATGACCTGGACGTGACCTTTGTCAAAATAAATGATGTTAAATATGCAAGAAAATATGGTATTGCTCAGGTCCCAGCTATTGTGTACTTCAGAAGAAAATTCCCCTCTATTTTTAGAGGTAAGACTTTGCTGCATTTATCATATTAAACCACCAATGCACGATGCCGGACACACAAATACATACTAATTGTGCCGGAGTCAAGCTGTTACGCTTTTGCTGATCATATGAATATGCCGGTATTCCTCCTTTGAAAACTAATATTTCTTACTAAAATCAATACATCTTCATTAAAATATAAACAATCAACCAATAGTGCATGTAAATTAATACCAATATTACCGAGCGAATGCCTACCGGCTGAAATATGCACACCACCTAGTGGCTACCCATTAAACTACTGCCACAAACGTAAGCATAACCAGATAGCCAGGGTGAAAAATAAAAATAAAGACGATCTAAAAAATGATTTAAATCACACTAGTTCTTCTATGGTGATGTAAATCAAAACTTCCCCGCAAAAATAATTCGGAACAAAGTTTTTACTTAGCGTTTGTCTATCATTTGATGCTTTCTATGTGCACTTGTTTTGTATTGAAATAAAAAGAAATTAGACTTATATGAAGCTGAACACGAGCAAAAAGCATTGCTCCTCTGAGCAAATCGTATCATTCAGCTTTCTTTCTACCTTCCACTTCGTTCGGCAGTTACGTAACGCAAACAAAGAAACAAAAACTAGAAAAAGTAATGTCTTATTGGAAGGAAATTAAAGCGCGAAATAAAGCTAACTAAAAAAATCAAGCTGCTTTTGATATAGTATGGCTGGGGTTATATCAATAAAAAGTAGTTCATTAAACTGTACTTTACATTTACAACAAATCTTTCCTCTGCATTGTTATCAGTGATCAGATCGATGGATTGGTCAATAAATCTGCTTGTTTGCGAAATAGTCACTACTTTCTAGCTACAGTGATTTAAATCAAATTAATCTTATTTAAATAATATAAATCGAATTTAAATCAAATGAATTTTATTTATTTGATTTAATACAAAAATCAAGATTTTTTCCTCCTGTACTTAACATCTTGCGAATTCGTTTATATGACACTAGGTGCTTTGACAACAGTAATACAGATGTACCAGGTTCAGCTTCTGGCAATATCGACTAGTCAAAAAACCGAGGTACCATCAGCACCACTGCTTTACCAATGTTTCGACAGGAAACAGTAACATATAAAATAGCGAAAAAAAGACAGGGACACGAAGTAAACAGCACAAGCGCCAATTTTCAACTATTTTTACTCAGGAAAAAGACAAGCATATATACATAAGCAAAACGGCAACACATACAGCTATCAACTTGGTATCCGAGCAAGCAAAAGCTGAAATACATTTTTATGAAGCACAATTGACGTGTCACTAACACGTGATGTCCCACTTTTTTATATAAAAAAGTGGGACGGCATGTGTCAGTTCAAACAAGGCAAAAAAAAAAAGAAGAAACAGAAGTCATTTCGTATTTCCACAAAGTTTCCCCTAATGTGAAGAAAGTGACAAGTACGATGTGCCCGTAGTTTCTTCGCCCCAAAGAAGTTGGCTGGGTTATGCTCCCGCGTTTCTGATGAAAAAACAAAACGGCCATGTGAAAAAAAAAAAAAAACGTGACTCCTTACGCGGACTGCACAGTGGGTGTAGCGTATGAAATTACACTAAGTTTTGGAAATGTCTAAATCGGCCAGACGCGGCGATGCATTAATGATCGAGCACAGGAGCACGCATTACCAGTAAAAAATTCATGTGGCTCGCACTTGCTTATACATTGCAACAATTGTAGTTGTGTTCCGCGACTTCAGCAGACAAGTATTCTGAGAAGAAGCCATGAGACTGTTGCTCGTAACCTTTTGGAGGGCGGTGTTATCAAAAAGAGTGGGAAAGCATGTGTCAGAGACACGTCAATCTTGCTTCATGGAAACAAATTTCAGTTTTTGCATGATCGGATATTGACTTGATAGCTGTATGTGTTGCCGCTTTGCGTATGTAGATATACTTTGCTTTTTCCTAAGTAAAAATATTCTAAAGTTAACGCTTGTCCTGTTTACTTCGTGCCCCTGTCGTTTTTGCGCTTTTTTATACGTTTAACTAAGATGAACCGAATAGCCCAGCAACGTACATTATTTGGAAACAACAACCCGCGAGATGCAAAGACATTTGGTTACGCCTGCAAGAAGGCTTTTGTACTTGACATGAACTATTTTGTACACTCAGAGAGCTGCAGCCTGCAAGGCAGGCGTACAGATCGTTTATTTAGTGCTCGAATAAGTGGTTTAAAGAATAAAAAAAAGGAAGACAACAAATCTCCTCCTACCATCTCCTTTATGACTAGTATTAACACTGCGGAAGCGGTGCTTCACCCTCCCAATGCAACAGTGCGGCGAAGCTAACGTTTCTAGCTTCGCCGGCACCGAACACAAGAGTTGAAGAGGCGAATGTATTCCGCTTGTTCCCCCTGGTTGGCGCTTGTGCACTCACTTAACACCACTGGCCTTGTCAACGATCGTACAGCTATTTGTTTATAAACATGTCGACGAAATTATAGATATAGCTGATAAGTGTTCGCACAAATTACTGAGTGTATTTCGACCGCTGTACTTCGTCTTACCTTACGATGTACCGCAGCAGACGCTACGAGCCACCGGACCAATTTATAGCTCAGTAGGCAATTTTAGGAAACCGTTTTTGGAAACCCGATGCGGTACGATGGGCCCTCCGGTACGAGCTGCGCATGCGCGAGTTTTCTGCGTTACCCCATTCGCAGTTTGTACGGAAGGGCCCATCATACCGTATCGGACGTGCAAAAACGGTACCCTAAAAGTCCCTAGTGTGTCACCTGACCTTCCGATTGGGTAAACCGATATGTGTGGAGCGTGCAATCTCGCGGCACGTTGAACTGGCTAAGGTGGCTCGTAGCCTTCATTTCGGTACATCATCAAGTGGGAACCGTATGTCGAAACATCATTCACTCTGACAACCAGGATCCTTGTTTTAAATGCGCAGGTGACCTCACCAAGGAAGAGGAAGTCCTCGAATGGCTAAAGAAGAACCGATACAGGCACCCTGAACTGAGCCTTTTCATGTACGCCCTGGTCGCAATTTCGGCAGCATTCATCTTATACACGCTCTTCCTCATCTTCTGCATGAAGACACCCCGTGAGAAGAAAGAGTGAACGCGAGCGTGCGCTTATGACAGCCAACAGACTTGCCGAGTCCGTGCTCCAACCGGCACGGTCCAGATCCGCGGAGTCTTTCACAAGAGGAAGCAGCAGGGGATGGAGTGCAGCAGTTGTTCTTGTTGTGCAGTTCAAACACCCCATGTCTTTAAACCTATAATTGATGGTTGAATGAAAATGTCCATGGTATTCGCCTGTACATAACCCGAAAAAAACCATCAGTGGTTCAAAACAATAAAAAAAGCATGATTTTCAACTTCTTTTTTTTTTTGCGGACATGGTAATACAGGTTGGTTGTGTAATAAAAATTTTCCTAATTATTCTCCTAAAAATCTTCTAAATTTTCTCAAAATATGTGTGAAAGTAGCATGAATGACTTGTTAAGTGATATTATTCATACGAATTTCCCCTTAATAGTTTTGTCTTTTGCTGAAATGTGATTGTATTATTGCCACTAGACATGAAATGGGGTCAGGTATCGCCTAGGCTGAATGCAGCCACATGAAACGTGTAATATCAAACGACTAGTGAAATAGCAATCATGACCCTCAGAAGACCCGCACCTGAGTTGAATAACGCAACGAAACAAGCTCAAATTCATAGCATTAAAACTGTTGCAAATAATGTCCTCTATAAAGTTGAGTTATTTGCATAGTTTTACTTAGCCGAAAGTTGAAATTGTGCGACAGCCAAAAAAAAAAAAAAAATCACCAAGCAAGAAAGATTTATATCAGGCTGAACATGAGCACCTGTGAACACGAGTATGAAAATTTTATTTTCAGTGGACTAATAAGTTTACCCTGTTACTGAGAATTATGTTCATGGCCACACACAAAATTCGAAGTAAAATAGGTCTATCACGCACAAAAATATCTTGACTGTATATTTTGTTGCATGCTACATAATAAAACAATGTTATATAAATACCACACAAGAAAATGTGTTCAGCATAATTTATTGTAGAAATATGAATAAAACAATTTGCAAGTATGTCTGTAAAACCATTACAGCCATTATTTCCACATATGCAAAGACAATTGCACCACAGCCTAAATGTATGTTGCACCGAAGCAATAGTCTCCAGATGGTTCTGTAAAGAATGTATGAGTGATTAAAAAAAATAAAATATTTATACGTATGTTTCTGCATGTAATTACAAGTTATTTTGCCACAAGTGAAAATTTTATTTCAGTGTGGTGAGCAAGAGTGAAAACATCTGAGACAGGGATGGGCAAAATACATGCAAATATGTATCGAAATACAAATATAAAATACTTCGTCAAAAATGTATTTAATTACAAATCTAATTACATTTCCAGAAAAGCATTTAAGTACCAGATACAAATACAACCAAATGTATTTGGTCTCCTCCAAATACTTTTCCAAATACATTCCTCAAAATTTGTGTCAGCGACTTCAGGGCGCCTGCAACGGGTTTCTGGGTGTCTTATTTTAATTTTGCGTCGCAAACTCGGGAGTTAGTGTGCGAGGCTCTAGTAACGTAATAGAAATATAATCACAATAATAAGCTTGGAGGTAATAGGTGAAAAAAGTACAGAGCTTCAAGCAGCTTTTTTTGTCGATTACATTTTGGTCTAGACCAACAAAGAACCGAGACGACCAAGACGCGCAGCACTAGCTAGAGAATTTTTTATTGTTGAAACTCGCACCAGTTACGAAAATCTGGACGACCCGCACATTTAGAATGTTCCAGGCAAAAATATGGATGAAAATCAGACTGGAAAGCATCACAACTTCTCACAGGCACTTATTTAGCCAGTCTGCCTGTGAACGTCGATTTCGTCACTATTCTTGCCCTGGACTAGCACCGTAATCACAAAGTCACTAAACGCTTGTGCTTGATTGAGAAACACTGCATTCAATGCAGAACGTAGTTTTATTCCTACTCTGGACAGTGACAATAAATTTGAGGGATGTATTTTCGCCCACAAAATTGTATTTAATTACAATTGTATTTGAAATACCCACGTTTTAGTATTTAAATACACACATCAAATACATTACCCAATTTTCAATTAAATACAAATGCAAAATACACAAAGTATTTGAATTACGTATTTCAAATACTTGTATTTGAAATACTGCCCATCCCTCATCTGAGATCGGTTGGGCTTGATATTTTAGTGGCGTGATAGGCCTAGTCATTCCATATGATTAATCCATAAAATAGTAACAGGGTGACAATCTCATAGTGCCGATAACACGTCAATCATTACACATTTTTGGACACACTCCAACGAAAATGTGCTTTCAAACATATGCAATATTTATTTATACAAAATTCCTCAGCCTGTTCTCAGGCTGTAACATTTGTAAAGTGCATGCAAACTCTATCCCTATCAGATTCTCTACGTACTCTTTTTTGCTTCAACTTCCTCTTTCACTTGTCACAGTACCAACTTTGATTTTCTCTTGTAGCCATAAGGACATAATAAGAAATTAAGTAATTTATTTATTTGATTGTGGCGGCTGAACCCCTTGCATCGGGCGATCAGTCTAAAAAACTAAACCTAGCCAAAAGATAAAAATAACGCTAAGCACTATTGCTGCGGCAACCCTCCCTCTTCACAGTTTTTCCCCAGTCTAGTTTGCCTTTCGTGGTTTTACTTCCTTGCGGGCACGGGCAGCATCACATGTCCATCTGTCGTCGGCACAGTTGGCGCATTGCCGCTGCACACGCCGGCGGTTCCTATCGCGCTAAATTACAGTCCTTGAGTCCCAGTGCAACAGCATAGTCATTCACATAGGGTGGCACGAGTGGCCTCAGCTCGGAGCACTCCATCACGACGTGGAAGACTGTTTCCTGATTCTGGTCGCATAGCTGATATCAAAGTTACTAGAACAATTCAGTTGGGAAACTGCCATAGAGCCTGCTCTGAAAAAGTGGCACCGATTTGTACTCGAGAACCGAGCTAATGGCGATCGCAACGCCGCCATTTCTCCCGCAGCGGCCAATCGGGGAACTGCACGGCTGCTTATATTGGCTCGGCTCGGGAGTATCGCATTCGATAGCGTTCGCTGTGATTGTTCTATTTTGACTTTAATCGGCCATTTTGGCGCCGAAACATATACGGTGGAAGGGGTTTCAGGGATGCCAACCCCGTCTCCAATCGGACGCGCCGCGAATTACTAGCAAAGTTAGGACGCGCCCAGGTTGGGACGCGCTACTTGAAATCACCGGCGAGACATGGTTCTAGAAAATCAATATTAATTGTGCCGAAAAACCTTTTTAACTAAACGTATTAGAAAACATCACACTCCTGTTATTTTGTACTAATCTCCAATGAGGGTTAATACAAAAAAAAGAGATTTTTTCGTTTGTTTTTACACAAAAACATGCTTTTTAAAAGCTTATGATTACCCCGGTAAAGAAAAAGATTGAGCCGCCATTTTGGCACCTCAAGCCTGAAAGTTTCGGTACTCTGAAAACATTTAGTGACTGTAGCAGGCATAATGTAGCAGGTATAAGGCAACATTCACGTTTCAACTCGTCGCTAAAGGGGTATTCACAAGAGGGAGAAATCCCCGGGATTTCTCCCCGGCGCGCGCGCATCACGAGACGAAAACGCGAGGCTTTTGCACATCGCAAAGCCTGACGTTTTGGTCGCAGGGTCCGCGTGCCATGGAGAAATCCCCTGGATTTCTCCCTCGTGTGAATATCCCTCAAAGGGTGGCGCTTTTATCGTATTTAGCTCGGTCTCGGTGGACGCCAGTGGCCCAGGTTTCAACGGCGAGTTTTCCAACTGAGTGTTCTAGTAACGTTGGCTGACACGTAATATTTAGTCCTGTCGTGTGCTTGGCCCTGAGGTGGCTTGTCCGTAATACCTCCTCGCCTCGCGAAGTAGCAAGAGACGGTTGTGTGCTGGCTGTCTGGTTGTCTCAGTCTCCGCTACTCGTTCCCAGACTTGTTTAGTTATCCCCGTTGTTGCACCTTCGTACAGTAGCACCCGAGGTGTTCCATAGTGTTCCGTAAACTATCGCACCCTTTTTACCCACCAAGTGTTGATGCTTCGGAAGTGTACGTATTAGGACACTTGTCGAGTTCATCTTTGTTCCGGCAACGCGCATAAGTGCGGCTCAAAAATCAGTTCGCTGGTGTCCTCGCGGACTTGGAAGCACGACCAATCTATGTAGCCTTCTGCACTCATTTGTGGTGTCTCGGTGTGTTCCATGCGCCAGGCGACCCACCTCCCGTTGCCTCACTTTGAGATGTTCTCGTGTGCGTGCCGACAGGCAAAGCACGGCAATGGCAAAGGTAAGCAGCGGAACCGCCACCATTTTCCGCATGGCATCCAGGGCACGCACAGTCTCGTATCGACTGAAGCTCCAGATTCTCCTGCAACCCAACTATCCCTTGCGTGCGTTCGCAGTGAGTCGTGGCGCGGTTTCATGTTACATGAGATATTGTCGTCCTGGCTGCAGTGTTACCTCCAGATATTTATATTCGCTGAGTACCATTCGATCTTCTGGCCCCGGATCGTCTTCTGTGTCAACTGGTTGGGTTATCTCTTGGTTTTTACGCACTCAAAGGCTTTACATCCGTCCTGATAACTCCAGACTTACTGGAGTTGAAGGCCAACCCCAACTATGCTGCTTGGAACGCGTCCCCGGCCGCGTCCAAAAAAGTGGCCCCTCAGTTTCCGCCTGATGACGTCATAAAAGTGTCATGCTGCTGTGGCCGGCCACGCTCCTGGCGTCGTCACAGCAGCGGTGGTGAGTGTGGCAGACGTTTGGTCTGCTGCAGGTCGCTCTCCAGCTTGACAGTCCACGGAAGCTTCGGCATCCAGAAATGCGACGCCGTGATGACAGCGACACTTATGTTCGCTCGTGCTTTTCGCCAGCATTTCTATGACCAACCGCCAGGATCGTGACATCTATGACACCCCGGTTTTTGTGACGTCATTTGTTGCCAGTTCGGGACCGCTTTCGATGTTTGGGCGAAATAGGAAACTAAACACAACAGTCGGAGACGCGTTTGAGGCGCCGTACCCCAACTTAGTTTAGGTAGTTTCCTCTTATCCCCATTTGTCGAGCAGCCTTGAAGCTCCTCGAAGATCCTTGCCATAAGCACTATATCATCCGCAGAGATTAAGGCGAGAACCCTTTGTGCCACCCGCCTCCCTTCCTCGCTCTGGTTGATACAGAAACCACTGCCCACAAGTGTTCTTCCGATCCCTGCAATGTATGTATCACACAAACAGCAGTGGAGAGAGCGGACATCCCTGTCTAAGTTCCCGTTGGGTCTTAATCGAGTCAGTGTATCTATCACCCTACAGTACCACAGCACTGTTGTCTCTGTAGATCTCTTGCA